TGATCCTTTGCTGGGAGCATCCCCTCAACAAGGAGTGAAAAAGACTGGACATGTTGTGGAGAAGCTTCAACATAGTTGGAAAAACTAATCAGACAAGATAGAGTGCTAGAGACTCAATCAGTGTCTTCATGTAGCCAAGCAGCAGGCGTGGGAGGGATTGAGGGGGTATTTTTGGCTAATTTCTCTCGTAACACATGCAGCCCATCTTTAGCAACCAGGTTAATGACATGCGCAATGCATCCAAGGAGGTGTTTGTCAGTGTGGAGTTGAGGACCCACTGCTTCCAAATGTCTTCCCATGACAGAGTTGGTAGACACATTATTGGCAGTGAGACAAAACAGTTTATTTAATAAATCATATGTTTTCAAAGTTTCAGTCAAGTTTTAACAGAAATTCGCCCCAGTATGTGGGCCTTTGATTAGCTTCATTAGGACCCTGGAGAGCGCAAATACACCCTCCTAATTGGTACCCAAATTTTGTTTTTGTTGGGTTTTGGGATTTTTCCACACAGCCATGACCATTTTCCCAGTTTTGAAAACTGCAACAGGTTAAACAAGGCCACAGCTTTCTAGTACATATACTTTTACTAGAGTAGGTACAGTGATTTTGGGTAAAACCCAATGTAGAGACCCGGCCTCAGTATGTTGTAACTCACCCAAGATCATCAAAAAAATAGGTTTTTTGCATTTTTCTCCTCAACCAGCACTCCAAACAACTTGAGGCTGGTATCATAAGATAGCCCTTCTTTGCCTAAAAAAAGGCTATTTTGCACCTTCATAAGTAGTTGAGTGTTGTGTGCATGGGCAGATACCCAAAAAGTGTGTTTTGTTAGGAGGGTCTGTATGCGCTTTCCAGGGTCCTTATTCATTCCAATGATTGCTTCAAATAACTTGAAGTCTTTCAAAATCCAGTGATCAGTGACTCCAAATATCAATTTGTTATGCTGACTCCAGCCATTGCAAGTAAAATTGATGAGAGGAATGTCCTTGAGGTGATGAGTAAGCAAACGTCTACCTTTGATACATTGAGCCTTGAGGGTACTGGTCAAGGTCTTATTTCCAAAAGAAATAAGGCTGAACATGTGGATTGACTAGCAAAAAAGTGTTCTGTAAGTTCTCAGATGCAACCAGTGAGGATGGAAGTTCCGCATTGACAATGAGGTGTACAGTAGCGGACCAGAAGGTTGAACTCAAGAGCTTATCATTCTTTGATGAATTAAAAGAGGAGAAGGACATAATATGGGAAAACTAATCATGTATGAGTCAGTTTGAGGCACTTACTGGAGCAATTTGGCCTGTTGTAAGGCGCTTGCGCATGTTGACTCCTCCATTTTCAATGTGGGAATATTTGTCAAGGCCGTGCTTGAGTAGGTGTTGACTCATGAATTTTGTACTGTGAGTTGCATCAACTATATATATAGCTGCTTCCACACTCTTTACCAGGCTTGGCATGGAACATGCAAATTGTCCTGTTCTTGTCTTCCTTGGTGATTGGATTGACAAAAGATTGAATCTTGAAGTATCTCCACACCCACAACATTTTGCTGCCGGTTCTAGAGTTGATTTGACTACTTAGGTTAGAGTGATTGGATCTGATCTATTGTACGCTGACACTGATAGGGGTATGAGAAGTATTGGATTCTGCTTCAAATGAAACAATCACCATTTGTGTGGTACTTTCTTTTGTATTTGAGAGACAAGTCTGTTTGGTCTTTGAGGAGGGAGGGCTGGTGTTGGGGCCTCTCTTCCTGGTTGAGCCCAATGAAGTAACAGACTTTATGATATAAATATAATGACATTGGAATAGAGTTTTCCAATGTAGATGAGATGATAGGGTGGCAATATTCTTCCTTCAATTGAAAAATACAATTAGAAAAAGGGTTTAGTAATTTCAAAAAAGGAACTTACAGCAGTTTTGAGAATAAATGTTGTCTGCTTGTTTTTATTTTTTAATTTCTCAAGGTTACACTAAAACTTATTCACCTAGGTTCTACATAGAGCTATAGTCAAGAATTCCGGGAAGCCCGAGGCCCGCCCAATCTTCCTGCTGGTAGCATTTGGGCCAAGAAAAGCCCGTCCAGGCCCGGCCGGGTGCAGATCTTAAAGGGGACCGAGCACGTGGTACGTCGCAGTCTTCAAAAGGTCCATTCTTATGCCTCAATCCAAGTGAACTAGCGAACTGTGTCAGCTAGTTCACTTGAACTAAATGAACTAGCTGACACATTAGCAGGCGAAACAGCGGAAAATCAAGAACAAGCGATGAAATTACCGACCAGTCTAGGTAGCTTAAAAAGGAGAATTAAAGAAGAATTCAAGACCAAGAGATTCCCTTTCAAACCAGGCAACAAACAATACAAGACGAAAGCAGAGCAAATAGCAAAAGGTTTAGAAGACCTGGAGAAAGGAGCTACAGCAGCTATCTTCCAATTACGTGCAGGCTTTAGCCCATTAAACAAACATTTATTCAAGAGAAATCTAACTTCATCCCCTCTCTGCTCTAAATGTGGTAAAACAGAAAACACTCAACATTTCTTATTATTCTGCAGTAGGTACTCAAAAGCTCGCAAATCGATGAGGATCAAACTAAAAAAGGAGAAGGTCAAAGTTGACTGGAACAACTCCAAGAAATTGCTAGACACGCCAAAAGCATTCCCAATATTAGCTGAATTCATATTAGAAACTAAACGATTTGTATTTTTCCATTCTTATCTACAGGAGCAAACCCGAGGAGAGCGACTGCAGAAAGGAACGAGGATGTCTTAGATCGAAAATCACAAAACTAATTACATTACTCCACCGAGAACCCAAAAAGGGACGTGTCAGCATAGAGGGGGAAAGTCCTAACTTCCCCACCGAGAACCCAGTAGGGACGTGCTCACATAAAGGTGTTAGTAAAGAAGAAAAAAAAAAACTCAAAGGAACGTCTTATAACAAGATTATGACAGACAAAGATAGCAATTGAAGCTACAAAATTTTCCACCGAGAACCCTATGGGAAGGGTCTGAGGGCACTTCAATATGCCTTTTAGCCCTTATAGCAGCGATATATAGCGGTATCGGAGCGGTAAAATACCTTCCGCTCCGATACCTTGTGATATTTTTTTAAAAAAAAATATCGGTCAAGTATCGGTGATCTCATAGCGGTTACTCCGCTCCGATACCAAAATGGGTTGAAATCCATAGCGTATCGGAGCGGTTCTGGTGTTGTTCTGGGACGTGTTTGCATAGAGGGGAAGAAAAAAAAAAAAAACTTCCACCGAGAACCCAGTAGGGACGTGCTCACATAAAGGTGCGAGAAAAAAGAAAAAAAAAAAGTATATAGAAAAAAAAAAAAAGTAAATTGAGATCGAAAGACATCCGGATTCCTGTTCTGACTGAAAGCCGTCTCTCCAAGGTAAAAGTCTCTACATTACTTAACTTGTTCAGATAGTGTATTTGCAATTTAGCCTTGAGCACTTAAAAAAAAAAAAAAAAAAAAAAAAAAAAAAAAAATCCACAATCCCCTCACTCAGATCGAATCATGTGACAAACTGGAAGCCGCAGTGATATATAGTAAAAAATGACCCGCAAACCTCGACGGATCCTCAGTAACATCTCCTTGACTTGCAAGATGATCAGACTTGGGGGATCAAGTTCTGGGATTGGTCCCTTGAAGATATCTCGCAGAAGTGATCAGAGTCCTGACATGAAGCAACATAACCTGAAACGTCACATAGATCACATGGTTTCTCCAAGTTATGTATATAATCGGATGGTGTTCAACTTGACTTGGTCACACAGCTGATCAGATCTGAAAGACGTCACACTGGACACTGCAAACTTGTTTGAGCTTGAACATGCCTTCTTAATCATATGAAGGTATATAACAGGCCACAACGCGCTTTCACTGGCGCTGTAGAAGTGGGTCAAAACGACGGTGCCTATCCATTCCGGCCAGTAGAAGCACTCATTCTAGGGCTTAGTCTTATGCGTTGCTTGCCCTATTTGCAGGAGTCAAGTATTTCCCCGAGCTAGACACAATCAAACTTCGATAAAGCCTTTTCAGCGGGTCCGCGGAGATCTGCCTTACGTAGCAATGATGTGATTGTAAGATAAAATGTGATTGATACCTTACTTGTTACGTCTTAAACGAAGATTGCGTGCCTATATGCATGCATGCCAGCTTGACTCTTGATACGTGTGGCAAATGACGAATGCTCAAAGGAAATGCGACGAATCTCATCGGAGCTCAGTATTGCTTCATCACATCGGCGAAAGAGCCGGCGGGCCTTTAATGAAGCATGCGTTCAGTGTATGCGTCTTGTATTTGCTCATTTACAATCAGCCTCACATACCCTTCAGGTATCGAGATGTATTGAGAGGAGTTGTTGGAGGGATTGCACGCGCTTCATCATCGACTTCCGCAGGCTGAATCATGTTGAGTATCACACTTCCAGACCAGTTGTAAAAAATTATAGACATTCTGCAATTCGTCAGGGAAGGTGCGGTTCGCCTGGTCACTAAATCCGAAGGGTTGCCTGAACGCTTGCATGAGTTAACACTGCGCACGTATGTCTCAGACACTATACTTGAACAGGTGGCAAATTTTCTCATCAGAAGTGTCAGAGAATATGTACAATAATTCCCAGTCCCCTTTGCTATAAAGCGATCTTCGCACTTGGGCGAATCTCTTTTTCCATCACCATTTTCACATTGCCTGCCTTACGATAAACTTCCCGACTATTTCAAGCGTTTGTTGTTTCGCATACATTCACCCTCATCCAACTCATACTTCGCTTTGATCAGCGATATTCTTTCCGCCACAATAACCGCTGTTATATTGTTCACCTCATTATAATACCCTCTGATTTCGCTTTCCGCTAGTGCCATTTTTCGACCACACCTACTATTTGGTTGCTGTCTTGAGGACAGACCCCCTTCCCCCATCTATTTGATTGATATCTCCCAGTGACCAGCCAATCTCTCTTCTTAACTGTAACGAAAAAGAAACTCCAACGAGAACATGCTCAATCGTCAGAACGAAAGATTGACGAACTACGAGAATCTCGGGTTGTATGATCGACCTTCTAGCGCTTATGGCATCTCACCCCCAGACTCGAGGTGGAATCGCGACAATACCCACAATTACCGATGTAAGCCTATTCTTTTACTTCGTTTGATAATGAATACCCGCCATATCTTGAAGAGGTACAGCAGAGATCAAGATGCTTGAGTCCGTCTTGAACATAGAGGCTGAACCTGAAACCTTTTTGAACAGCTCGTTCAAATTCGACCTATAATGCAGACCAATACGATTCTTCCAACTTGGGACGCCTTGCGTACGCAAATGAGCGCCTTAGCTCTGCGAGAGTACAGCAAGCCGTAAGTTTTTTGGCGTTGTACATATCTAGCCTCTATAAGTTCACTCGCTCATGACTCGGATACTTGGTCCGCCAGGAACAAGCATTGCGAAATTTCCACGCCAAAACTGGGCAACTATACGGTTCTTCCACGAATGGTTAAGTTTGTTCCCTGCACCTATAAATGATATTTCACCGTTACTCGACTATCAGTCGTCTGATATCTGGTTGCTTCTCTCCTGGGAAACTGTCGATATGGATATCCAGGCTACAATAACGGGGGACATTTACCATATCTTCACCAGGATTTAGAAGCACCTCGGATGAGGGCTATCGATCTGATGTCCGCTGGTGGCTCCTCTTCCTGGAACACCCCGAGGTCACTCAGTCACGGGGATTACGAGTGTGGATTGCGTGATTCCAGCGGTCGCTTCCGTACAGGCTACAGCCTTGGAGAGTCTCTTCCACGCTCCACCATCATAAAAGCCCAGCAACGTGCCAGGAGCAGAGCCTACACAGCGTCCGCTTGTTCCTGTCATCTCCAAGACTCGTGTGAGTTTTTGTGACAATTTTTACCACAAGTCAAAAAAATCATGTGCTATCTTGATGGGCTAAATCCCACTCGTGCTTGTTCTGCTCTCAGATATGTTCCCCGCCCGCGCCAATTATTTGAGTACTGAGTTTGGAAACTTAGGCTTATCAAACTATCATTCAAGACCTTCTAGCAGAATGTGGGGAAATGGTGATTACAACACGCCTTTGAGGCGCTCTTCTAGTGGTACTGCCTTGGCTGGATATGGTTGCGCTTATTAGAGACACATTTATATCTCAAGGCTCTTCTGGAAAGAGCATGACAACTGTAAGATAAGCATCACATTTCAAGACATCAAGGAGCTTTCTGTCATATCACTGTCCTTTGACAGTCCTTTTTCCTGCCGTCGCAGGATCTTTTCCATACACTGTTTGCAATAGTCAAATCTCTCCCTGAGGGACAGCGCTGCGCGCAATTTGTTCAAAGTCATCATGTCTCCAAATTCTCTTTCTCCTCTGCTTATTTCTTCTGTATTATCTACGTATGTTACCAATGCATTGCCATCATTTTATAAAAGTCAAAGGATCAGATTAATAGTCTATCCCACATCATGCTAGTGTACGAGCAGAATTGGAGTAGATGAGAAAAGTGAGAGATCGACGATTACAGAGTAGCTTTTAGCTAAAAATGCGACCCGATAAAACCTATAGTTCAACACGAAATATTTGCAAGGACTTTAGGTTCGTGACAATCATGAGTGGAGCAAGACCTTGATACTGACCACGAGCTTCAGCTACTTGTATCTCGTTAGCAGCGAGTATCAACCAGAGCCCTCACATTTGTTTCGTTTCGATCTCGGCTCTTATTACTTGAAAAACGTTCTACAGTTCGGAAGGGCAGTTTGGAGTAGTTGTTGCTATATTAATCTGGTTTTCTCTCCATCGTGAGATTTTCTATCATGTGTATTGTCTCCATAAGAGCACGTACAGACTTGAGTGCCACCTCAAGTCATGCTTTTCTAGGGTGTGTGTAGCGGTCTCATCCCTCCATCACGATACAAACACTTATTGCACAAAGGTTTGGCTTCAAAATATTTCTACCAAGCCGGTGGCGTGGAACGTTTCAACTGATGTCATCAGCCAAGCTGATTGTACCTTTGGCCAGCAACTTCAAGAGGCCCAATGAGCTGCCGCGAATTCAGGCATCGTACTAGTATCACCTACCGCAAGATACAGGACTGGATAGAGGATCGACATGGATACCACGAGGAAGGAAAGCGGTACAAGTCATAATCATATAGCCTAGCTTATTGACCCAAGTCTTGACAGGAACGGATCACAATGCCCAATATTGCAAGTAAGTCTGAGGAAAGAATGCTATATGAACTGAGGCTCACGTTTGACTGTCGCTATGACTGTGTTTCAATGTGTGGAAGAAATGAGTTGACAAATTAGGCTTGAAAATAGTACAGTGCATCTCGGGCGCCCTAGCCCGGTATCTGACATGCCGGCAACACTATTACCGATATTTTGCCTTTGGCACAGCTTGAGAAAAAGATGCAGCCACTTAGGAGGAAGAGGAGCCGGCAACTCGGACCGTACCAATAAACGTAACATGCTCATCGCGAGTCCAAAAAGGTTGACTCCGAGCTTGGACCGGGCCATCACGGGATGTGACTTCATCGTGATCAGATGCAGTGAGCACTTCAGGTGGTTGGGGAATGGTTCTCGAGTGTTTGCACGAAAGACAGACGATGGACACTCGACGAACATGTGTTTTGGACGCTAGAGGATGAGACAAGAGATGAGGCGACTTTCAGACAATCGGAAAGAGAGGGAATTCACTCACGTCGTAAGCGAACCACAGAAGTGTGCCCAGGGAGGAGAAGCAGGTTACACGACCGACAAATGCTTCTTTTCACGCTTGGATCCCTATCATATTCGGATCAATAACATGGTGAGCGCATATTGCCCCCAAGAAAGACAAACAAGCATTTAGAGGAATGCGTACATTCGCACCACAGCTTTCCTGGCCACAGCTTTCATGCTTGTCGACATGACGCGACTGAGACCACTCATTGGAGCATGAAGGACGGGTTCGATAGGTGCTTTTAACAGATTCTCGCGACGTTCATTGTGTATTAGCTTAGATGAGCGCTCTGATGTGCGCTTTGAGCCCATCGTATCTTCCTTCGCTCCCTGCCTCCGAGTGTCTTGAGAGGATGGAAGGGTATGAGAAGCGGTGGCGAAGTAGTGTGCGGCTTGATGCAGATAATTCAACCGCTGGAGCACATCCCTATCTTAAGAAAACGAACCGTTGGAATGAGAGAACTTTAAGGATAGGGGGAAACGAAGGTTTTCCGTATTGACCTGTTCGGTACGGCGTTTGGATTGGCGGCTGGAACAGTGTTGTTGTTCTTTTTGGCCATGATGGATTGCTCACTTGGCCCGAATTGCTTGGATACCCAAGAGCTGTGAGTTGAGCCGTGAGTTAGAGCTTTAAGGAGCTGTCGTTCGGTTCGAGGTTCGGCTTGTGTTCGACGACGATCATGATTTACTTCCAAGTCGGAGCAGGTCGGAGCGCTGAAAAGGATCGCAATGGCACAATGCAGGTCTTCAGGAGGCTGACTTCACCACGTTTCACTAACTTGTCACGTGACCCGGTCCGTGACTGCGCAAGTAATCGTCCAAATTTCAAAATCGCATTATCCAAACTTTTTTAAAGCTCTCGATTCGCCTTCTTCACGCGATAACGGTCGACATGGAAGTGGAAGTCGCGCCGGGAACAGGTGAGCAGAAGAAGGGGTCCTCAGGAACCTTTCCTCTAACTCTAAACGCGGCCAACGCGTTTATCAACCCCGTTGCCCCCCAAGATACCAAAAAACCGACCTCTTCGTCCCCCTCTACTCCGCTTGCTTTCGACCAAGCGAGCCTACAAAAAGGGCTCTCACAACCGCCCTCAGTCCAAGCCACCGACTTGGGAATTTTTGGTAACAAGAAGTGTCTCAGACCAAACGCAACGCCAGGCGAAAATACGGTCATCCATGTAGCTGAAGCAACGGGTACCCCCCAATCCAAAAGAATTCAGGATCTGTTCCCAGGAAAGACTGAAGCCAATTCTCTCGAGGATATGGTCAGTAAACTCCTGGGAGTAGTGAAGGCGGGTTTTCCACTAGCAACAAAGAAGGCCAACATAAAGCAAAACTCGGTAGATGTCAAGACAGCAGCAGATATCATGGTCTTGACAGGTGCCATCTATGATCAATACATGTACAAAGATGCAAGGCGTAACTTCAATATGCCAGGTTCACTTTCAACACCCAGTCCCAAAGGCCGCAGTATCATCTTCAAAGGAAGAGAAACTGAGGACGAACTAGATGTGGTTGTTGAAGAACTTGACATGCCTTCCCAACAACAACAACAAAAAAGGTCCAAGAACCCCATCTTACGTGTCTAAGCGTGCACCAACCAACTTCAACTTTGGCACAAGTCAAAGAACAATGCTGCCAAAACCACAACCAGCACGGCAAACCCCAAAGGTTAAGCTTACCAAGGTCATGACTTTGGTCCATGAGCCTGGACCAGATCTCACACCTCCAGGCTTATCTAATGCAAAACTCATACAAGAGTTGAACATGGTCTTAGAGCCTACAAGATAAAGATTAAGCCATAGGACAAAGAGGCTATTGAAATCAAGAGTGTCAGATGCCACCTGTCTAATGACATTGACATATATTTCAAGACAGCAACCCAAGCCACCAGAGTTAGGGCCTTGCGGCACATATGGGTGCAGAGTTTTCCAAAAAGTCTTACTGTGAAAGAAGCACACCACGAGATAATTGTGAATGACATACCCACATCATTTGACCCCAGTCTTGAAGACCATCAGGAAGAACTTCAAATTGCAAATGGTAATCTACTCAAAGATATGCTGTTTGTGAGATGGCTTAATCCAAAGGCCTTAGAAGACCCCAAAAAAGACACTCCTCCATTCTCATAGGCTTGAACAGCAAAGAACAAGTACAAAAATGTGTGACCAATAAAATATGGCACATAAGAGGTAAACACCTAACCGTCAGAAGCCGCCCACCACCACAGAGGTGCTACAAGTGCCAAAAGACAAGACATACAGCGCCCTCATGCCCTTTTGGTGGGGACAAACATCACTCACATAACTGCCTGCAGAAGGGCAAGTCCAAAATGAAGTGTACAGCTTGTGCAAGGCACAAGGTCAAGCTTGAACCAACAATTGACATCAAGAAATACCTTGCAACAAACCCAGCCAACCTCATCAACCACCCTTTCAACCCAATGTGCACTACCAGAATTGTGGCAAGCTTAGCTCCTCACAATCGCAGTATCTCACCAAAGATTGTAGTTATAGAGAGCAGAGACATGATTCTGTAATGTTAGAACAATGTCTTTGCAAACTCCTAGCAACACAAGACACAACAGAAATACTACAGTTGAATTGTAATTGCTCACCATATCTATTCAATCCCTTAGTTAATCTTGAAATGACAAATGAATTTTCTATTATATCAATCCAAGAACCTCACATGGCCTAAAACAACTACCTCCTTTCTGACCACACAAATTGGACTCTAATCAGCCCAACTCTGGCAGCACGGAATGAATAATCCCGTTGTAGAACTCTTTCAGAACACAGCTGAAAGCTGAGCCAAGAAGAGGAGGATGGGAGACAACAAAAACACACACAAACAAGATGAATAAGTCACTAATTCCTCTCTAGTTAAGATAACTATGTAAACTTGAAGAGATACATTTATACTTGACAGCATCCTTGCCTTTGTTAACCTCAAGACCAGAGACTGGGAGGGGAATATGGTGAGAAGTCAATGGCTTTCACTTAGCAACCTTCTGACCAAGGGATTTGAGACCGTGTCCAACCACAAGGTTCAACTTGTGTGCGTAACATTTCACATGATGCGTGGAGCTATCCCAAGTGACAGGATCTACAGCTGCTGAGAACATTGATTGCATCTTGGTGGCCATTGTGGAATTGTTTCCTCCACTGTCAGTAGTCTGCGTAAGCATGTGAGGAAGTACAAAGAAACAAAAGAAACAATAAGAATAGATAGAAAATTGAAAGGTTAATACAAAATCAATTGAAAAATATAAACCACACTAAAATGAACTTATCTTTTTATGTAAGTCATGTTGAATCAAGAATCTACCAATGGGTCTATGCAGCAGGTGCCCAAAGGCACGACGGCACCTGCGTAATTCCATGAAAAAGGAAAAGGCGAGCAGAGCTCGGGCAGACTCGGTACCCGAAGACGGAGGTACCGAGAGGAGTTGGGGGAAAGGAACTTCCCCAACGGAAACTAATTTGGAAATGGAAACACTCCATTACCAAATTCTTTTCCTTCTAAATCGTTCACTCACATCAACGCAATAGAAAGAATAAGAGTAAGGAAGTCTCACTATCTCTTATCGAATTTTTTTTTCTTTCTTTTTCTTTTCAAAAAGATAAAAGCAATACCATAGAAATCATACTTTAAAAGATAATTTAATTAGAATCAGAAAGATAACTTAATTAAAATCAGAGAAAGAAAAATTTCGACCGAGAAACTATTCTATACCTCTCAACTTGACCAAACATCCAAATTCATCTTATCCTATCCTCTCACTCAAGTCTATATACTCACATTCAACCAACATGTCGAACACAAACCAGCCATCAGCACCTGACATCATCCCTCCGAGAGAACCGACACCTGGTCAATCATCTGAATCCATGAAAAGTAGAACTAGAAAAGGAAAGAAGAACGAGATGATGAATGTGATGAGTGAAGGTGATAGTAACGACACAACTGGACAAGGAAGAGGTAATAACTCAACTAACAACCTGAACAATAATACTTCGAATAATCAAACCGGCAATTCGACCAATCCAACCGAAGAAACCTCCGGAGAAAATCAAAATGAAAGCGCTCATAATCAAGGTGTTGAAGGGAGAGATGATAATACTGATCAAAGAGGAAATATAACAGGTTTAGGTTAGTAATTTGCTATATGTCATTAAAAAAAAAAAAAAAAATTCTTCAAACCATCGTTATTATACCCAACATCTCCCTATAAACTCCTACTCTCTATTTCCAATATTCTGGCTTCGGTTGTGATCCCAATATATACGGGTGTAAATAGACGCGGAGTAATCAAATAGAATATTTTCCCCCCAGTGTGGCCGTAGAAAAACCCCCCAGTGTGGCCGCGAATAAAAGAGACGGAACTAGTGTTAAACCCAGTGTGGCCTGATATATATAAGTGTGGCCTGATATATATAAAAAAAAAAAAAAGATGTGGCTATAGATAAGACAGTGTGGCTAGAAAGAAACTCCCAGTGTGGCCTGAGCTATCCAAACAAAAGAAAATCTTATTGACAAGACAAACAGAGATCTTAATAAAATTCCAAAAAAAAAAAAAAAAAAAGTAGAAAAGTTGCTTACCAAATGGTCCTTTCTTGTCTTAAAACACTTGATGTTTACTTCGTGCAGGTCCTGATACTGAAAATATGGCAGAACCCGTTCACATCGAACACGGCCACGCCAAATGGCTCGCAAACATACGAGAAGCATTTGATAGAGACATAGGCCAATATCGAGTTTTTAGAGAAGAATACCAATTTTGGTGTGAAAATGAGGAGACTGAACCACGAGATGTGGGCATGATGAACTACACCTACGAAGCAAAAATTGATGTCCAACCAGTGCAATCAGAGACCGTTAAAGAGAAATCAAAATCTAAAATTGAAACAAATACAAAAATGATTTTAGGAACTTTACCATCTAATAATATGGCAGGTTTATCACAGTACTTCCATGATATCATGATTCATAAAAACGTTCATATGCCAGTTTCGATTTTCGATCCAACTTGGATCATACAAGACTCTTTATTCATGAAGAATCGATCATTGAAAACAAGTTGTTCAACGAATGTTATTTCCTATGTTGGATTGCCCTATTTAAATGAATACAGATTGACACCAATGCAATGGTCAACCCGTTATGATTTAATGGTTAAATATCAGGAAGAAAAATATGATATATTAGAAGCTCAGAAGGACTCACCGATTGCGCCGAGATTAAAAGTTCACAAAGAGAATGTTTTAGCAATTCAGGCCAAGTGTTACGGGAAATGGACTCCGGCTATGCGCTATGACATTGCTCATCGACGTAATGTTTGGGAGAACAGACTACCAGACGGATCGATGGCAGATGTAGGAATGCTGAATGAGGAATTAGCGGATAGGGCAAAAGAAGATGCCAAACATTTTAACGACTATAAATACATCGATAATCCATATGCCTTCGGGAACGTTATGCAGCATATTAGTCCGATCAATGGTGAAACTTACCCTGAAAACGCGTCTTGGGATTCCTCAAATGCTTTAATCGATACACAAGCTGAGATGCTAACTGGCAGAAGTTTGTCGTCAGTAACTAATAGACCTATTACACAACCTCTAATGAGGACAGCAACATCAGGAAAAGTGGCGGGAAATGGTTTTAAAGGCAGATTCTACAACCCGGTTTTTGATCGCACGAGCCCTCTTTTCAATCCTAGTGCATCCCACCCAGCCCCGTACTACAACCCTGCACACTACCCTCATCCCAATCCATCGAACTATTATACTGAAAGTTACCAAAACCCGAGAGGAGGTCGTGGAGGTGGAAGAGGTAGTACTCAAAGAGGTGGTAGAGGATTTACTGCAAGTCGGGGAAGTGGTACTCGTCCTGCAATCGGCCCGGGAAGTTATGACAAATCTTTTGCAGTGAGAGGTGGAGAAAAAGCGGGAGGAAGCGCACCATCAGGATCTACGTGAGTTGTGATAGTGAATTAGATAATAAACATCCTTAGGGAGAAAAGTGTCATAAGTTGTGTGATGAAAGAGTCGTATTCGATCTGTTGAAAGTGTTTTACCGAGTTTCTTGTCGTGTGACTCCCATGCAGTTGAAATCGTTGTTCTGATCCAAGTAATGAATTTGTATTGATTTACTAATAAAAATGTGTTGTTTCCTTTACCTTTCTTGTGTGACTGTTTGCTCTGAATTCAATTGAAGAAATATTGAATCGAGAAATTGTAACTTGAGACAAATTGAGAATCGTGTGATAGGTCCGAATATCCCAAAGCCGAATGTCCCAGAGCTGAATGTCCAAGACCAACATCTCCAAGGTGATGATGAATGTGACGAAGTTGACAACCCAGACTCCCTACAAAACTGGCCTTTGGAGGCAAAGAACGAAATGAACCTAGAACAATGGAAATCTTTATTATTAACACATGATTTAATGGGTAAATGGGAAAAGGTATGGGAAGGACTTACTAAAGGGTTTAACCAAGGCATACCGAAGCATACCTGGAAAGACGAAAGGTGGTTTACGCCCGACAACCATAAATCGGCACTGGCAGTTCAAGAGAAAATAATGAAAAACTTGTACAAAGAGAAGAGATTTGGCAGAATCTTCGGACCGTTTTCTCATGAAGAGGTATATAAACGATTTGGTTTCTTTCGTTCCAATCCGATGGGAAGTGTTACGAACAATGATGGATCTTTGAGAATGATAAATGATTTATCTTACCCAAAATCCAAAGTAATATCAGCAAAGAAAAGCAAGGTGGCGTCAGAAGATGAAGATGAAACGGAATCAGAGGATGAAGAGGAGGAGTTACGGTCAGATGCAGCTATGAAGTGGTCACGCTCAGCCAGGTATGATTCACAGGAATATGACATACCTTCCGTCAATTATTTCGTGGACAAACATGATTTTGATACGACTTGGGTTGACTTCAACGCAGTCGCAAGTTATTTCAAAGCAAACCTGCAAAAGACAATTCTGTTAGCAATTATAGACTGGTTGAAGGCATATCGACAAGGTTCAACTCACCAATCACAATGGCGATACCTTACGATCAAAGACTTTAAAGGACGTATTTGGGTAGATACTCGAATACCATTTGGAGGTGTGGCGGGGTGTGGAACTTTCGGGTGGATGGCTGATGCATGGCGTGATATAATAAAGGTGAAATTGGGAGTAGAGGTCGTCTTTCGTTGGGTGGACGACAATATGTTCGCAAAAATTGACGGCGACTTTACTCGATATGAAAGACGTATTGAAAATCAGCAAGGATCTAGGCGTTCATCCAATGAAGAGAAGTTTTGTGATTGGAGTATTGAACAGAAGTACTTAGGCTTCATATGGAATGGACAAGATAAATCAGTTCGATTACCAGAAGAGAAAAGGTTAGAAAGGATTGATAAAATAAAAGACTTACTTTTACCCACTAGGAAATGCTCGAAGAAAGAAGTAGAAAAGATTGTTGGGCAGCTTAGCCATTTAATATACCTATTACCTTTGATGAAGTGTTATCTTTGGAACTTATACTGGTGGGATAAGTCCTGGTATAATCATAGTGCATTACGGGAAGTACCTGAGGGAGCTAAAGAAGAGTTGGGAGAATGGCTACGGAGTCTGGAGAAGTTTGACAGGCTGAAGTTTACTGAAGATGTCGAGCCCACCGAGATAGAGTGGGTGGGAGATGCAAGTACGGGATATGGAATCGGAGTATTGGTTGGTGATCGTTGGTCGAGTTTCACCTTAGTTGACAGCTGGAAAACAGAAGGTATTTCACAAGGTTGTCAGAAACGTGACATTGCATGGTTGGAGAAAGTCGCTGTAAGACTGGGCTTACTCATGATTGAACAATTAAGACCGACCGCGAACCAACGATTCATAGTTCATACTGACAACACTACGACCGAAGCAGTGATAACAAAGTGCAAGTCAAAACATAGATTAGTTAACGAGGAGTGGAAGGAAATACAAAAGGTGCTTACTAGATTAAACTGCTCGATCGTGGCGAAAAGAGTCGCTTCAGGAGATAACGATGCTGATAAGTTATCTAGAGGTTTAGAGAAGAACAAAAGTCATCAAAAGCAAGTAAGGATCGACTTACCACGAAACTTGCTTAAAATCTTGAGAAGAGATTAGTTAAAATGATGACGAAAGAGAAAAAGATTGTGAATTTCTTGAGGAATAAAGAAGGGTAAGTGATGAACTATCGATGAGATTTGCTTAAATATTACCGATAACTTACGCATTTGAATTTGTTGGCTTCCTGAAACTTTCCTCCTTTGTTCACGAAACATAGACTGATTGATTGGAGGTCTAATAAAGTGAAAACGAAGTTGTTGAATGGAAGCTGGTCACAGACTACCCTACAGAATTATAGCACGGCAATGGCAAAGTTAGAGAAGTTCGGTGAATCAGAGAAATTAGAAAGAGAGAAACTGTTACCTTTGAGTCAGGATTTGATGTGGTCCTTCATAGTATGGGGTGGTAGAGAAGTTAATGTTGATTTTGATGACAAGGATGTATTAAACGAGATGAATACGAAACATAAGGTTACAGCAGACACATTAATCAAATACATATCAGGAATACGATCATGGCATCTATTTCATAACGAACCTTTTCCGGCTGAGAACGATCGGGTGTCCAAATTGCTCCTGAAGGCGGCGAGTGTAGCAGATGCGAAGTGCAAGGAAATGACCGCTAATATCAGGAAGCCGGTTCAACTGAGACACTTAGCCGAACTGGTAACGGGATTAGATAAAGGGAGTAAGAAAGATCATCTAGCGTTGGCGATAGCTTTGATAGCTTTCTGGGGAATGGCTAGATTAGGGGAGTTGGTTTCTGATGAGAAAGGAAAAGCCTTAGTGTTACGAAAAGATTTGATTTACTCACCAGATCACTCGTACTTCAAGTTGGCTTTACATAACGCGAAAACCGCCAAACCTGGCGAAATCCAATACTTACATCTCAGACGTATACCTTCGTATTTATGTCCAGTTAGTGCATTAGAAAGAGTCTTCGAAGAAAGCCCTGCGAGACAGTTGTCCGAACGATTATTATCTTATACAGATGCAAAAGGGAAATGCTTGACGCTCACAAAAACGGCAACTTTGAATATCTATAAGAGGGTATGGAGTAGAAATGATACGAATCATCAGTTGTCGGGACACTCATTCAGGATAGGAGGAGCAACTCTGAAATGGAATGATAAAGTACCTTTAGATGAGATAGTGGAAGCAGGACGATGGGAATCGAAGGCATACCAACTTTACCTTAGGAAGTACACTGAAGGTGACGTGAAGGATGCTAAGATGATATGGGAACTGATGAAGAAGGAAGTCACGGCAAGACCTCGACCGAGCGAGGTAAGTTCTCAATGAAGTGTTGATCAGAGTTGGTTAAAGAGTAGAAGTTCCGGAGTTGTTGGTGTGATCAGGTAGTATTGATTCGGAGTATGGCCAAGTAGTCCTAGTTGAAGAGCACAAGAAGAATGAAAGATTGTATGCGTTGCCATTGTCCAATAGAAGGGCGAAACGCTATTTGATGTAGAAGTACGTTTGAGTTTAAAGGGGAGGTCGAAACCGGTCTAGCCTCGAGACATACCGAGATAGGCTCTCCGCAGGCTCCGGACGATATGCCCCTGCGCCCTACCCCGCAGAGAGCCTACCCGGTCAGAAAACCCGCGGCCTGTCGGCCCCCCCCCAAACACGTGATGAGACTTAGTTATATCTAAGCCTCGTTGCTCAAGGTCTTTTGATCATGGTAGTAGATAGTGTAGGAATTAGAAATTACAAGCGAGAGATAAAACATGATAAGGAATAGAAAACACATAAGAAGAAAAACATGCCCCAATAAGATATGTGAGACTCCGGTTGATGGAAGCTAGAAGAGCCCCACAATGGCGCCAAGAGACCATCTTTAGGGTAAGGTGTGATGATTTATACTCCCAGTTTTTGTTGATATGGTTGGCTGTTGCTCCAACAAAGGCATAACAATTGCCTTTCATTGTGCAAACAGCCAAAATTACCATCATTTTCCTATCAATATAAAAGGAAAAGTTAATCAGAGTTAGTAATCAAAAGATATAAAGGGTTGAAGGGTTGAAATGAAAGAGTACTTACCTTTAAATTGTTAATTGCCTTGTTGTGCAGACCAGCAAAAAGGTCCACAGATTTTTGGGCAGCCCATGTTGATGATTGAACAACAGCCCCACAGTTGGCTGAATCAAAAGCTGCAGGGAGTGCAGTGTCTTCAAATCTAGCCCAGGGGAGCCCATGCCGTACAATCCATAGCACCAAGATCATGTTTGAGAGGTTGAATGTGAACTTGCTTTCACTAAAATATGACATTGAGGTGGACTTTTGCTCCTTTTTCTTGGCTTCTAGCTTTTCATTGTAGGTGATAGGGTGATCCATACTGGCAGCAATTGCTTTGTATCTTTGCTTGCAAACCGGATGTGATTTGCTTTGGTCTCAATGACACCATAGCTCTGACCCTCATTCCGGGTCAATAGCAGACGGCCCAGACCACTGTGCTATTGCTCTGCAACTACTTCTTAATGTGGAGTGGTTCTGGTATTGCCAAGGAGGTCACTTTTTGATGACATGTGTCATGGAAAAAGTCATGGCAGCTGTTGAGTGTAGGTCAGTGTCCCCTTCAACCACCTCAGATCACTTTTGTCCTCTCCATGGCATCGCTCCTTGGATCCTCAGCTTGTGTTTACAATCCCTTGACCGTGAAATCATGTGTTCTTGCCATCATTCTGAGTACATCAATTCTTTAGGCATGTAGCCATTGGCAAAAGAGTAGTGTGGGCATTGAGGTATGATGGAAAGTGATCAAATTTTTGTCTTGGGAGAGCTGTCAAACTCAAAGAAGCTTGTCTGGCTCTTATTATCTCTGTGTTACTGCTCCACACACAGACCCAGCCCTTCAGGTGAGATTTCCCATTTATCCAATAATTCTGGGATTGACTGTAAAGTGTTGTTGTTCTCTACCAAACTTGTGTCTGTTTTTCTATTGTCACAATTGTTGCTTGTTTCAGTAGTTCACTACTGACACTAGATCTTCTAAGTTAGAACATTTCTTATCTCTCTATATCAAATTGTTGAAATTGTCACTTGTTTCAGTAGTTAACTACTGGCACCAGATCTTCTAGTTCTTGTTCCCCACTTTGCCTCTCTACAAGATCTACCTGGTCATGCAATTCAAAATACATCTTGGTCTTTCCTTCAGCTCTCTTCCATTTGTTTCAGTAATTTGATGCCATCCATGTTCTCATTGTTGATTGCTATATATATTTTCCAAAACCTATTGGATCAATCACTTCTCTCACATACTTCTGATCCTCAATACTGCATATCTAGAATATTTCTTCCAGATAATACCAACAAGACACTGATTCAAAAGTCATGGACAATAGCTTGGTTGATATGACACGTGCTGAAGCAGAATTTGGTCAGGTCCAGCTCCAGATGAGCAAAATGTGAGCTATAAACTATTGCAGTCTTCATCAACTCTTGCATCCAAAATTGCTCATTCTTCTTTTTCACCTCGACCTATTAGCTCTGGTTCAAAAATACCTGCATTGGATTTGACAGATAAGGAAGCACAAGCTGATGAGGGCTTTGACTTGTTGGACTATCTGGTGCAATTGCTAATCCGTATAGATGCTCATATGCGCTCTGCTATTAGTATCATCTATCCTTCCAATGTGGTTTTGGTCACTCCTCTTCCATGAGCCTTCCACTGTGGCTCCTCACTCTTTGTTATCACCAGATTTATTCTGTATATCTGTCTTAGACTGACTGGATGCACAGTCCCCTGTCAAGAGATCCTTGACCTCCTATGAGGCACCTCAACAAAATCTGGATCTTTTCTACTTTTGCCTCAAAGACTCTAACATGATTCTGTTTTTTTCTGTATATAAACTGTGTGACAATGGCAGCGAAGTGAGCACCAGGGCATGGATTCCCAGGGATTTCCTCATAAACAAATTCGCGTCATCTTTTCAGACCTTGGTGTTGTTGGAAAGGATCAGGATAGAAAACACATTAAGACCTTCCCCGATGCAGTCAAAGATCAGCTGATCTTACCCTTGGTGATCATCAATAGGTATCTTAAGAAACAACCAACAAAGATGATCATTTCTGGTTTCAATGGCTTTGTCCGTCCAGGTGAGATGTGTTTAGTATTGGGTCGACCTAATTCAGGATGCACCACATTCCTCAAAGTGATTGCAAACCAGCGGATTGGTTTTACAAAGATCTTGGGCACTGTCAAATATGCAGAAATTGAAGCCCTGGCAATGGCCAAAAATTATAAGGGAGAGTTAGTACCATGTGTTTAATATTCAGGTGGCAATCTCATTTGTACTTACTTGTTTGCAATAATCAGGGTTGTGTATAATCCTGAGGTGTGGTTTGTCTCTTTATATCTCATCTCAGGTTCATCAACTGCTTACCGTTTGCTATGGGTCATAGGACGATGTGCACCATCCTACACTGACTGTAGGCCAGACGCTGGAGTTTGCTCTCCTAATAAAAACACCCGCTACGCAACTCACGGGTCAAACCAAAGACTCTTACAGAGAACAAGTGCTAGATTTATTGCTGCGGATGCTTGGCATATATCATACCAAAGATACCTGCACGTAACAATCCTCTTAGGAATCCTCTTCATTCTGCTTATGCCAGCTTATTTGTTGTTTTTGTTTTTTTGCGGCTTTCAGACGTCGGAAACGCGCACATTCAAGGTGTATCGGGCGGTGAACGGAAACATGTGTCCATAGCTGAGATGATGGCTACCCGAGCCTCAGTTCTATCTTGGGACAATTCAACTCGAGGCCTTGACACATCCTCAGCGTTGCAATATGCAAATTCTTTACGCATCTTGAGTCAAGTTTGTCAAAAAACAATGTTTGTGACACTGTACCAAGCAGGCGAGAGAATGTATGAGCAATTCAACACAGTTTGTCTCATCAACAAAGGCCACCAAACATATTTTGGCCCGCCTCTGAGGCAAGAAACTATATGATGGGGTTGGGATACAAGGATACACCTTGGCAAAGTACTGCAGATTATCTGACCGGCGGTACGGACCCAAATGAGTGACACTTTGCTGATGGTGTCAATCCAGAAACTGTACCACAAACACCTGAGGACATGGAAAAAGCTTATCTCAGTAGCAAAATTTATCAACAAGTGCAATCCGACATAAGAGCCTACAACACTGACTTGCGAATTCATACGTGTGACCAGGAAGAATTTTTTCGCGGGGTTGATCACGCTCGTTCAAAATTCACTTCAAGACGAGTAAGCTTTCTTATGAGTCAAATCACTTGAAGGGGCGTGTACTTACAGATTTGCCTCAAGTCCCCATACACAGTTTCGTTCTACACTCAAATTTGGGCTTTGATGATTCGGGAAATCCAATTGAAACTTCAAGACAGGGTAGGATTGATCCTGAGCTGGGTGACGACTGTGGCCCTGTCAATATTTGTTGGAAGTTTGTTCCTTTTCTTGCCTGTGACATCCTCCGGTGCTTTCACCAGGTCAGCCCCTTTATATCTGATCTGGATTTGACTACACTTTTTGAAGCTGACATTGGGGTTTTGATTTGATTTGAAAGAGGTGGTGTACTGTTTCTGAGTGTACTGTTCAACGTATTTGTTTGTGAGCTGAAGTCTGGCATGAAGTCTTGGAGGAGTGCTAAAAGAAATTCAATTCAGCATTCACAGAGTTACCTTCTCAAATGATTGGCTGTCCAATCATGTGGCGACAGACCTCCTTCTGCTTCTATCGAGGTGGTGCTCTTGCCTTGGCCAATATTTTTGCAGATGTCCCCTTCTCTATCTCAAAGAATGCTGTATTCTGCACAATTGTTGAGTGATATTTATTTTAAACTCACTTGAAACTTACAAAGTCAAGTGTTTGTCATTTGATCTTTGGAGGCGATAGGCTGAGTTTAATTTTAAACATAGCTATACACAATGACTGGGCTTGTCAGAAGTTGGGCCGCATTTTTTACCTTCAATTTGATTGTTTATATTACATCAATCACCTTGAGCACCTTCTCTAGCTTCTTGGGTGCAATCTCATTCAGCTTTGATACTGAAGGCCGTACAGCAAGCATAGTGGTGATGACCATGGTGATGTACAGCGGGTATATGATCCCCCAAACTGCTATGCGGTGTTTCTTGGTTTGGGTAAGCACCATCTCGCTGACGTAAAGAAATTGTGGATTTTCACGGGTTTTGTAATTCTTTGTTTAGGTGTGGTACATCAATCCCATCAACTATTCTTTTGGTAAGAGAGTTTCTTTTTTGGGTGATTCTTTTTGAATAAGAAACAACTAACCTTTCACACTATTGGTTGACATCTGAAGATAGTGGCTCTTATGACCAATGAATTTGGTCGCCTCAATCTGTGAGTTTGAAATATAGATTGAAACCTGGCAATTCTACTGAGAATTTGAACCAACCTTGTCATCGGGTACCTCAGTTCTTGTGAAGGAAGGTCCATCATTCCAAACGGCCTGGGATACCCACCTTCTCTTGGTCCAAACCAAGTCTGTACCCTTCAAGGTGCTCGGCCAGGTGAGCCTGTTGTAAGAGGGGAAGATTATATCCATGCTGCGTATGACTATTCAGCTGGAAACACCTAGAGAAACATGGGAATAGAGGTCTGTTAGAGGCTATTTTGTCCATAATACATGATTTCCTGATGAAAAATTCATTGTTTCTAGATCAGTTTCTTTTTACTCTTCCTAACTTTTCTTTTCTTGGCATTGGAGAATTCATCTAAGGGTACAAGCACTCCATCAATAATTTTGGTAAGAAAATATTCTTTTCAACAAGGCTTCTTGAGGTTGACAATTTTCCACCGTCCCTAGTATATAAAAGAAAACAAAGAGAGGAGATATCTAAACAACCGTTTACGCTCTTGTAAGAAAGACACAAAAACTACTGAAGTACCCAAACAGGAATACAGGGTATCAATTGAGACACATCTGTCTTTCACATGGGAGGCCTTGACATACAAAGTCAAAACATCGGCTGGAAAAAAGAGACTACTGGATAATATCTAAGGTTGTGTAAAACCAGGCACTTTGACTGCCTTGATGGGTGCGTCTGGTTTGCTCAATTTTAGATATAGCTTTCCAGAGTGCTGCCTGATGTGATTTTCTCTATACCATGGGAGCTGGAAAGACCACTTTGCTTGACGTTTTGGCAAACCGGAAGACTGAGGTAAGCTTTTGACATATGATAATGGAGTCGCTTTGATGGCTCAATTTAGCTCGGTGAACCATTGTAGAACTTAAAGCTCAACAAGAGCTTTACAGAGCTAAAAGAGGGATAATCTACTAATATAACTAACTAGTAGAAGTTGCCTAAGACCGCCTCTTTGAAAGAATCAACACGGGGTTTTGCTGAATTCTTTGGGATAAGGCACCAGAGAAATTGTCTCAATACTTAAGTCAAGTATTATTCCTGTGATTTTTAGAAATAAAGAAATCTCAACACTGCTATAGTGTTATTCCAATCTGAGCACAACAAAACACAATTTTAAATACTAGCAAAGCAACAATCAGCTTGATTGTTATTCCAATGAAGACTTGTAGTCTTATCACACGTAAAGAAATCTCTCCTTTGATATAAAGGGGCAATTTAGTGAACTTAGTACTGCTAAAGTAATTCAATAATGATTAAAAACACTCTAACAAAAGTATAAGATGAGTAAAAAGTGGAAAAAAGGCACGTAAATTCCCTAACAATAGATATAACCCTCCAACAATCCTCAATAATGGTCAACAGCCTCCAAAAACCTCCAAAAACCGTCAAAAATCAACAGGAATCCTCCAATGTAACCATATGATGTCATAAATATTATTGTTTGTAATGATTCAAGGCGTGAATTTGATCAATTGATGTTAATAAATGATGAACAGATCTTCTTATGATGAATACAGGTGATTTTTTTCCTAATATTCATAGCTGAAATCCATTTTTGGAATTACAAATGTTTTGTAAAGTTGTTCAATTTTGGATTACTATAGATCATTTGATAGCCCTCGTGATACTGATCATTTATCACCCCCATATGACCTATTCCTAATGTGTGATGAATAAGTTATTGAGTTGTAAAGATTGAGAAAATAAGCTTCTGTCATGTAAATGTTATATGTAACCACCAAATTCGAAATTCACTCCAGTTTCTTGGTTGCCTTATAACTTTTTCACTAATCCTCCGTTACTAATGATTTAAAGGTTTTAAATTATGAAACCAAGGATTCTGCGTCGAATGAACTATCACACACCCAATTCTGACAAGTTTTAACATATGTAATTAACTAAAAGCCTCCATTTTTGATGAAATTTGACTATTTTCACGTCTAATAATGATTCTTCTTCTACCAAAAAGATCATCCCACAGCATTCCAATCAATCACACAACCCTTGGCGCAATCAATCCATCAATGACATCACTACACAGGAATAATACCATAGTACCCCTTTTCGAAATCCCCCTTTTCTTGAATAATTTCACACCTCCCTTATCAATCCTTGTGGCTAAAGTTGCTGATGACTAATGTTGTACCCCTCTTTCATAATAAAACCTTCCTGAACCAATAACTCTTATAATAATAACCTAAAAACCATTTTCCAGCCTTTCATACCCATATTTTCGAAATTTCCTTCAAGTTTTCTAATATTGTCCTTTGTCTTTCATTCTTTTCAGATCAGTTTCCATTCTTTAAGATAGAAACTAAATGTTCTTCTTCTTCCAATCCATTCTTACTAATTCTTTTTAATTTAATTTTCACTCTTATACTATTTTTATTGATCTTTTCGAATTTTTCTTTACTCTTAAATGTTCTTATCAATTGCTTATGTGAATATATGATTTAAAAGATAATGAAATGAAGATTATAAATCAACTTTGATACACTTGATGACTAATAACTCCAACAATAAATTGGCCTTTGACTAAAGATATGAATTTTCCCATAATTTTTAAATTTTTGGCTTAAGTAGATATCTTGCTCACCACACCGTATAGGGCATGATTGGAAGTGATATCTGCGCATCAGGAATAGCTGTAGGACTAGACTTTCACCGGGGAACTGGCTATTGCGAGCAACAAGATGTACATGAGTGGACGGCCACGGTCTGCGAGGCATTCAGGTTCTCGGCTTACTTGCGGCAACCGACTCACATCTCAATCACAGGGGCCAAAATCGATGCTCACAACTATGTGAGCATTGTAGACTTTCCTGAAGTCTCCAAAAAAGATTCATTTTGTTTCAGAATCATTCAATTCATGAGTTTGTTCGTGTTCAGGCAATCAAGCTGTTTTGCTCAGATTTTGCTTGGTATTGCTGGAGAATGCTCATTTTCTTCTTGGATGAGCATTCTTTGGGCTCAGTCTCTGAGATGAGTATTCAGGATCCGCTCATGAGGCATACTCAGATTTTTAGGTTCTATCTACATTCATTAGCTCCTTTCAGCAACAAGCCATCCGACATTCCGAAGTACCACATGTCTACCACCAGATTTCGGAGATTTTAAAGTTTACATGTCACCACTCGAGTAAGATCAGAGCGATTGCGCTACGATATTGTCAGGATCTCATTATTGCATTTCCCACTTTGTTGTGTAAATTCAAAACTGTTGGTGACATGTTGGAGATGTTAACCTTATTGCGATTATCTTGCGAAGGGGAATATGAACATGAGGTGAGTTTTCTAAGATTAACATCATTGTGTAATTATGAAGTGACCAATGTACTGAACCATTTTGACCTTTTAGTATACGCCGGTTTATACTTTTCATTCAGCAAGCGCAAACTTGACGATCGAGCTCACAGATGATTATGCGGTACGACATGACACGTTGAATGATTTGAACAAAGCCATCATGTATTGGCTTTTGATAGTAATTGCTCGAGCGCCTCTTGAGATGCAGAGCATCTTTCAAAGATATTTAGATGCAGTTTCTTCTAATGATGCATTAAGATCAATTGGACAGGTGGAAATGGGAAAATCAGTAGCACTGGAGTTAGCCAAAACGCTTCCACCTACCTCAACCCTTTCACATTTCCCATCATGGGGTAATTGTAAAGCGGATTTAGCCAACGATCTTGCTAGATCTTTCTCAAGTCGAATGTTTTACAATGGTGAAGCTACACATCTGTCTTCTTTGCCTGAGGTAGAGTTTAAGTCTAGTCTTGCTGAAATCAAGAAGAATTTACATGAAATCAATGATCAAATCAATTCTGGATTGAAAAAGATGACGATTGAAGATTTGAGTAGTGTTCTTTATAAAGCTGGATCTCATGTTCTAGCCGATTCGAGACCTGATTTAGATTTACTTTTCCATATCGTTTCAATCCCGATCAAAGTTTTCAGTCCTTTATCAATCTCACTTGGACTTGAGCTTTGGACTTGGTTAATAGATGTTAAACCTGAGGTAGAAATCAAACTGATGACTGAAGTGATCAATATGTGGGCTTGGACCTTACGTAGACGCAAGGGACTCTTCTCTAGTGCTTGTGATTTGATTAATCCACTCAATCAATCGATCCAATTCACCCCAACTGATCGAGAAGAGATGAAACATCGACATAATACTGTTAAAAGGATGTTAAAACCACATCACATCCTTTCAGATTTTATTTTAAGTCGATTTCAAGCTGCAAGATATCGAAATCGAACCTTGGTTTTAATTACAAGCAGACTTTTGAAAAATACGCTTTCGAATGTGAATCATTGGTCAACTCATCCACTTTCAAGAGAATTGCGGATTAGATTGATAATCTTTGGATTTAGTCTTTGTCAAGGTAGTAGAATGGAAGATAATGTTGAATGCAATTTAAGAGAAGTTTGTTATCTTGCTGGATTGGATTGGTTTAAATTAACACCTAGTTTTAATTTCGGTTCCAATCGATTACAACATGAATCTGAATTAAGATTGTTACAGGATTTATTGGCTATGGTGATTGTTGATAAACCTGTGAATGCTCATCATCTTAGTAGTCTTGATCCTGGTACTAAATTAAATCGATTACCAGGTTGATATGAAGTTTCTCATTTATGACTTTCGAATAGGGTTTTTTGTTGGATATTGAATATGTTTTCTTTGGTTTGATGTAGGTCGAACTAGTGCTATGGTGGCTTCTTTACGTCATTCCGATCGAAATCATTTATTTCAACTTTTATTAGAGAATGAAATTATTCGATTAATGGCTTGGCAAAACCCATTAAGTGATGTGAAAAGAGGCAAAAATGTAGAATCTATAATTTCTAAAGCAACAGGAGAGGTAAAGCAAAGCCTGACTTCATACGATTTTTTTCGCTTTTATCTGTTTTCAAAGGGACAAAGCTGCTAAATCAATTGATTTGATTTTTCTTTATCATAGATTAGATGGAGACAAATTGTACAAACAGCTTGGTCAATTGATCCAGAATTGATGATTAGATTAATGGAAAGATTCAAGTATCCTTATAAGTCAGCACTGTCGGGACGTCCCAGGTGCCCTTATTCTCGAAACAGTTTAGGGTTGGTGTTATAAAACCCAACACGGGGCTAGCTTGACAAAAGCCCAGCCTGCCTGCAGGCATCAAGGGATGCCGCTGAGGATGAGCTGAGGGGCTTAGATTAAGTGAGGCGATGGGCCAGCCCTCCCTCAGGCTTCTTTGCTAAGGACTGTTGCCTGAGGGAGGGCTGGCCCATCTCCTCAGTTTCTGTTGATCACATAATGAGCCGAAAAGCAGAAAGAAAAGGGAAACAAATGGAAAACAAATGGGAACAAAACAGGAAAATTTCAACACTCACATAGTTGTGAGCATCAAGTTTTGCCCCTGTGAATTGAGGAAAAAGACACATTTGTTGAGGAGGTAATTCAAATCCTGGAGATGGATGATCTTGCTGATGGTGAGTGGTTCCCAAACAAATGTGCCTTCTTCATTTGGGCTAGCTAAAGAGGAAATGCTATCGCTCCAAAGCCGCCATTGGATTCCCTGGGTTTGGACTGGGAGTGGAGGCTAGAAAGAAAGTGACAATTGGTGTTGAACTTGCTGCTAAACCACAATCACTTCTCTTCCTTGATGGTAAGGTTTTGTGATATTTGAGCTGATTTTGCACTATACATGATCATTCTAACCTTTTCAAACAGAGCCTACCTCTGGACTTGATGCGCAAAGTGCGTATACCATCATCCGGATTCTACAAAATCTAACAGAGGCCGGACAAGCAATTCTGTGCGTATCATGTTCCTGATGTTCTTGTTGAATATGTTCATGGTTGTTGTACCTCTTTGTGAATTCCATTTAGATGTGCAATCCATCAGCCAAATGCCCTATTATTTGAGAGCTTTGATCGACTTTTACTTTTGAAGCAGGGAGGTAGATGTGTGTATTTTGGTGACGTAGGAAAAGATTTGCATGTAGTACGATCTTACTTGGAGAAGAATGGAGGTCGGTGCCCAGATGACGCAAACCCAGCAGAGTTCATTTTGGAAGCAATTGGCATAGGGAATGCCCGTCAGATGGGGGGCAAAGAAGATTGGGCAGATTGGTGGTTGAGAAGTGAAGAGTATACCAAAACCCAGTACAAGATAACACACTTGAAACAGGTGACTGCAACTAGAACACATGATGGGCTTGGCTTGGGTGGTACAGATTGTATGTGGTCATTGAGCTTCTTCATACATTTTGGTATCCACATTTTTCTGTTATGTCTCTAACTTGACCAAATTGATTGATAGGGGTCAGCTTCGGGTATCAGTTGAAAACCGTTTTGACTAGGACAAACCGTGCTTATTTCAGAAACACGGATTATCAACTTACCAGACTACATAACCACATATCTATAGGACTCCTTGTTGGGTTATCTTTTCTAAATCTTCCCAACTCAGTAGCCGCTGTGCAATACAGGATATCTTCTATCTTTGTTGCTGGAGTCTTGCCAGCTTTAGTGAGTTATTGATGCGTAAATTTGATGACCATACATGTTTGGTGAGACTTGGGTTAAGCTGACAACATGTCATTATGTTGTTAGATCATCTCACAAGTTGAGCCTTCTTTCATATCAGCTCGGCTGATTTGTGTACAAGAATTATCTTCAAAAACATACGCACCAGGGGTCTTTGCAAGAACCCAGTTTTTGGCTGAGTTACCGTATTTGACAATTTGTGCAGTGTCTTATCACCTACTTTGGTATTTTTTGACTGGAATGAATCCATCAGCAAATCGTGCCGGATATGCTTTTCTCAGTTGCGTTTTGATTTGAAATTTTGCCTTAAAACTCCCGTTAAACATATTATGCATGATGACTCATTACATTTGACTGATCAACAGTGATATGGGTGTGGGAAATCTTCTCCGTTACCCTTGGCCAAGCTATTGCAGCACTCTCGCCAACCATATTCATCGCATCTCAGGTAACCGCACCCCTATGCCTGGTGTTAAGGTGAGCAACAGTTGGATTGTTTGTGTATGTAGTTCAGATAAAGTCTCTCAATGTATCAAGTTTAACCTTGTTTTCTCGTTTTGCGTTCCAAATTAATGTCAGTTTGATATGTGGAATAATGGTACCACAGCCAGTGATGCCAAAGTTTTGGAGATATTGTGAGACTCTGACTGTTCCATGACTTCATTTGAGGCATTAACAATATACACTTCCAAATTGCATTTTAGGGCTATATGATTTGAATCCATATACTCAACTTATCTCTGGACTGGTTGTGAATGAGCTCCATGATTTGGATATCCGTTGTTGTCAGGATGAATTGTAAGATGCGTTCAGTTCCAAGCACAGGGTCCAAATTTTGCACTCACGACGTGTTAGCAAAGCTTTTCCCAAGATTGTGTCAAGATTGTTGTATGTTTGGTGCCAGGCTACACTTTGTGCAGCTTTGGAACACACTCTTTACACCTGGTTGGTGTTGAGCGAAGTCAATCTACAAATAATCAGTATGAGTAATACCTATCTTGATACCAAACATGTATGATTCCTTTGCTAATGTGTCGTGAGTATAAAATTTGGACCCTGTGAAGGACACTCCACACAGGAACTTAATCTATACTATTGTATGCTTCAGCGCAATAGTTCAACCACCTATTGGTAGTACCTACAGAGAATGGCTCTCGTCCTTTGTAGCTGCTGCTGGTGGATATGTGAAAAACACTCAATCCACAGAAAATTGTGCTTATTGTCAGTATTCCATTGGTGATCACCATGTCTGTCCCCCATGAACACGTCGATGTGCTCACACGGAGAGTTGTGTAATAAATTTGAACAGATCTTTATTCAATTTGTCTCTAGAAAATGCAAATCCTTTGTTAATAATAATAGACAATCAAAAATGTACCGTTTGTCAATGGAACTATGAACAAAGGAGCCCATTTAACGCTCTTGCTGTCTGAACCTCTTGACAAAGGCAATTGTATGCTTAGCTCTCAGACCTGTTTGTAGGTTATATCCAACCTCTACAGAAATTGATTGGTGTGAGCACGTCGACATGCTACCTCAAAACAGACATGGTGGATGAATGTGAGTTTAGGCAAGATAATTTGATCAATATCTTAAACAGGACTGACGATACAATTTCACTTCTCTACCCCATCAAAGTCTTGACTTCCTTGAACTATTCTTACAGAAATCGATGGAGAGATTTAGGTATTATTCCTATCTTCTGCGTCTTCAATTTTTGTGTGACAGTATCTGCAGCAAAGTTTTTGACCGTCAGATACGCTAAAAGATGAAAGAGTAACTTGACCGTGTCTAATTGAATCCAGCCAATGCCTTTCAGCGTCACATCTGTTTGACCAGTATTGATTTCATATATCAGATGTTCAAAAGGGGAAGGGATCGTGGACTATAACTGCTGCTTTGGCAGCTGTTCACCACAACCCATCTTCACGCTCCGCTGATGAGGTCCTGCTCTCTTGTCTCTGCTTATACTGTTCAGTCTTGGGTTTTCTCTTGTCATGGATTGGTATGGAAAGATGCATCTTATCTGACAAAGATTGACATCTTTGGAAAAAAATCATTGGACGATATCCAGGAGAAACCCTGTTGGAGTTTGTAGCTGTTTTGATCACCGCGTCAGCTTCATTAGACGAGAAAAATCCTTGTAACTTTCAGGTACAGGAAACTGTAAAGAGGGTATCCGAGAGTTAGGAATCTTTATCTCGGCGAGCCTCTGAATGAACTGAGGAAGAGTCAGACTCTATGTCCTCGACAGCCCCTTGGTTATCGAGCACTATGATTGGCACGGTGCGTGGCCTCCGGACTGCGTGATACAAACTAAAAGTCGATAAAAGTTGATGATAACCAGGCAGCGTCAATTGATATGTAGAAAAGATAACCCATCCTGGAAATTAGCTATAAGTATTGCATTGCTTCGAAAGTTCGGAACCCCGGATATACTCTGACCCACATTTTATTCACACTTCAGTTCTTTGAATTTTTACTACATATTGAGCTTCTCAATCACCTTCACCTCCTCAACTTTGAAGCTCATTTGATTGTCAAAATGAATTTGTCTACTCGCAATTACATCTTGATCATATTTGTTTTTTTGAAGTTGATTGAATGTGAGAGGGGTCATGATCAGATGAGAACGGTATGCACAGAACATTATTCCCCAAATCCTGCAACCAACGTAAAATGCATGATGTAAGTGCAATCGTCTGACGTGAATCACAAGCCCTCTTGAAGTATGGTTCAGACATATTGTGCTTACATAATTAATCCGAGCTGGACTATTTAGAGCTTGCACGGGACTCATGGCCGGCCAGTTAGTCGCAGAAAGAATCAAATACGAAAAATGCCCTTTCAATGGTAAGCAATCGTTGGCCAAGTTGCTCAAGTACATAGATATTTGTGACGACTACAGTGCTGTTGCCAGCTCATGAACTACAGTCCATGTGGAAGTATAGTTCATCTAGTCGGTAAGCCAACGTCAAAGATTCATCATACAATTTGAGAGATGCTGATCTGTGCTCACCCTCTTAAAATTCTCTACTTTGTCAGGGGCCAGGCCTATAAGATGAAGGGAGCCAATGGCTGAACCGTCTTTCTATTGTTGCCAAGAAGCAAAATTCAAAACAAAAGCATGGTTGGGTACCCCCAAAAGACAAAATAGACAAATTGATCGCAGTATGAACTCAGCAATGCTGGAAATTGTTATATGTGTACTCAATAAAAGACGAAGAAGCCAGTATTTGTCAGCCCCTCTGCTCCTCTTCCATCTCCCAAAAACTAAAAATCTTGCTGTAAAGTCTTGCTACCGATATCTTTTTTTGGATTTTACGCCCAACACTCAATGCCCACAAGTCGAGAGTAGGGGACGAGGATCTAACATGACTTTGATGGGCTTGGAATTATCATAATAGATGGTAGCCCAGAAGTCAGACTGCACACTCCCCAAAGACAACAATAAAGTCAGTACAAAGTCCGACTTGATAAGATGGATGTGATAAAAGCTGAAGTCTGGAAGTCTCCTCAAGTTTGTTAAGCTAAGTCTTCACCGTTTGAAATAGCAAGGTGGAAATGCCCACAAGCCCCGAGGAACACGAAGATCATGGACTTGAGCATATAAGCCTCAAGGATCCACTGTAATGTAAACTACGAGCTACAAATGTCTCGAGTTCATCTAGCTTAACAAGTACTACCAATTCAATGTTTGGGACAGTTTGGGACCAACACATCAAAGTTTTCAGCAAAGAATTTGAATTTGGATACAAGCCAATCCATGGTATTTTTCCTTATCGATCACAACGACCCATGCGGTGTAGGATTAACAGCCAAGTTGCCGACATTGAGCTGACACTGCTGCTACGGAAAACTTTGGTTAAGCGTATTTTACTCTTTCCCTATGAGAGCAGCCAGGATTCCCTCAAGGCTCTATCGCTATCAGAAATCGTTCACCTTGGGTTCTGATGATCAGGTGACTTGACGCGACTCGGTTATGTGACAGATTGGTGACAGAGAGTGAGAAGTGAGTGACATCTGTCGAGTGATAGCCCGAACTCCAGCTTCCCAATCCCAATCCAACTGGCAGGCTGAGCTCACCGATCTCGATTCTCTATACAACTTCAACTTATCATCAAGTTCATCATCTCGATCTCATGAACTAAGCAAACAAACCAACATGGAGAATAGTAGTAACACCATCAATCAATCAGATCAATCTTCAATCTCAACTTCACTTTCAACTGCCTCCATCGATCCACTCGTACATCTCTCTAACACTCTCACGTACCATCAACATCATCTGATTCGACTTTATACCTCACTGGGTCATTCTGAACCAACACTCCTAGTGGCTGGAAAGATTACTGAACTTCATACTTGCATTCTCAAGACGATCGAGCTTCAAGCTAAGCAAGCCGAATCAGAAGTCGAAAAACTTACAAAATCTGTAGAAGACCTCTCCGATCATATTCAAACCCTTCGAGCCCGTCTGAATCACCATTCACATCATCATCTTGATCTCGAACCACTTGATGGAAAAGAAGCACTTGTGCCACGACTAGAAAGGCTACAAAACATTGAACGCGAGCTTCTCGACCTCAAATGCGAACGAGAGGTTCAAGCTGAAAATGTCATTCAAGTCCTCGAAGGATATATCCCAATCCTTGGACAAGACTACATCACCGCAATCATTTCTGGCCCCAATCCAGAATCTGGACGCTCTGGTACTGATCTTAGTCTGGAATACATTCAAAGACTCGAAAAACATTGCAAACAATGTGAACGCGAAGTGGTACGCGCCTTTCCCTTCGTCGCGTGCCTTACATTTGAACAGAAAGTCTATATCATAGATGACATTCATAAGGAAGACAACTCATTTCGATCAAACCACTTTGGAACTCTATTACCAGTCCACACGCTCAGAAACACTGGCACAGCACTTTCAGGTAATCTTTGATCTATGGGGCGATTTAGGAATCTCTCCTACTCTCTCGCCACTTTCATCCTCGAACGAAGATCATCAACAAGCTCAATTTGATGCTGAAGTACTCTTGCATCTCGGCTTCGAAGGCATCACTGTCACTGAAACTGGAGACATCGCCTCTCTTGGTCAACGGACACCGATACCAATGCAACCTACTTTGGAAAACCTGAATCGCGCTGAAGCACGAAGGTTATGGCTTGAAACCGAAAGTTCAAAACGTGGGGAAGAAATTCAACGTTGCTATGATGAACTTTGCCCGATTTGGGTTTGTGTTAGTTATGTTTCTCAACCAACTTTGACAGTGACCAGCATGTTACCAACCAAACTAAAATGATTCACTCCAATACACGAAGCTGGACGTACCTGAAGAAAATCAGGAAGACTTTGTGGAACAGTGGAGCGGACTCAGTCTCCAATGTGTAGAAGCATATCAATTAGAGCTGGCTCGAATGATCGAACTACGAAAGGAACACATGGTACAGTTTGTAGACCAGAAGCGTCAATTGATATTCCAATTATGGGATCAGATGTATGTAAGTGAGGAGGAACGCGCTGAAGTGGAGATCATGAGCTCAAGTTGAGTTTCTTCTTATACAGTTTGCAATCCGCTGAATCAGTGAAATGAACTTTAGTTGACTGTGTTTGGCGTTATAATAGGCTGCTTTTCTGAAGAGTTGTTAGCCGCCCATGATGCCAAGTATCAAGAGCTTCTTCAAGAATTGGAAGATCGCAAACCAGTACTAGATTTGTTTGATCGGTACACAACCTTGCTTCAAGAAGCACATGACCTACAAGTCAGCTCCTGCCGTTTTGATAATCTATCTTCTTTTAAAATGGGACCTACAAAGGCAAAAAACTAATACAAATTGTTTTGAAGTTGGCAGAAAAAGATCCAGATCGATTCGCCAAAGGTAAACGTCATGATCCTGGTAAGCTGCTTCGAGAGGAAAAGATTCGAAAAAGGGTGACAAAGGAGAAACCAAAGGTAAATGAAGTGCTTCTCATGCGAATCAGAAACCCCCTCATATCCGGCTTCTCCCTTCCCCCTGGTGATTCGTCTTGCTACATGTTTGAATCGAAACACTTACTCATAGTCTTGCTGGGAGTGTTGGTCAGTTAGAAGCGCAATTGAAGGAACTCATACCGCAGTGGGAAAACAGCCGTGGCCGTCCTTTTCTCATCAATGGAAGCCGATATCTTGATGATTTGGTGACCAGGCTGGAACAGGAGGCAGCCTCCAAAGATCAGGTGAGCAGTTGCGCTACTAAGATATACATGTAATCTCGCTTGAGCCACGGTGTCAATGATTCGATTCATTCATTCCATCATCTCAGCGAACCAAGACAGGTACCGCGCCTGTGAAGCGACAACAGACCGGAACCCAGTCTCGGAGTACATCACCTGTGAAGAAACGAACTAGGTCGGGGACGGTGTCGAAGCCACCTGTCAGTGGGGCAATGGTGGCGATGAGAGGGAGTGCAAATCCTTTTGGGTCTGCCACCCCTGGTTTCAACAATGGGATGCAATCCGCCAGTCGGATAGGCGCGCAGCCGACGGGTGGTTCAAATTATAACATGCGAAGTGGGACGCTACATCCTCAACGGACCGGTTCTTCAATGTCGAACTACAACCCTACGACCCCCACGCCGTTCTACCAGCATCATGGCACGTCAAACCGATCTCGCTCTATTGATCAACACCATGGTGTACCTTCATCTATCACTCGGTCAAGCTCGTTAGCATCATCTATGCGGCCTTCCAATCTTCCACCTCGAGCACCGTCTAGTCTTTCCAACTCAACACATCATTCCACCGCCCTTCCGCAGCCCTCTTCCCACGCTCCTACTATTCCTCGACCACAACTGGTCTCGACAATAAATCGACCTCCACTCCTTCAAAGGAGTACGAATACTAATCCTCCTTTACCTAAACCTGTACCTAAGCCGCCACAAATTCAAGTTAGTAAGAGGACTAGCTTTCGACCTAGACCGTCTAGCATTCTTTACCATCCACCTCCCCTTCCTACAAGTCGGGCGGTGAGTATCAGTGGATCGACGAATACCATTGATTCTGTACCAGTTCGAATGGATGAAGCGCAACCATTGATTGAGTGAAGTTTCAAAAGAGTGAAAGATTTTGTGTTTTCTTGAAAGTATTTGATTTTTTTGTTTGGTTTATAAAAATTAGAATGAAGAATTTGTATGGTATGAAGTTTTGTATAAGCAATTTTTTCAACAAGTTTTCAAAGTTTGTAATTTTTCTTTTTTCTGAAGGGTTTAAGGATCATTTTATCATCTTGATACCAATACCGATTGGTTTTTGTTTGGGTTTTCATGTCGTTTTGTTGATATTCTTTTTTGGGAGTCAGTTGCGAAGTGGATGGATGGATCATGTGGCATCAATCTACATTAAGAAATGAAGGATATACGTAGTGCCGAGTTTTGAAGAGCGCTCTGAGAAAATGATGTTGAGGAATTGATCTGCTGCCCTCAGAACTCCACCATGACTTGTAAGATCTGAAGGGCAAATCTTTCAAGTGTCTTCTGAGAGATTCCACTGCTTCACACAGTTCACACTGAAGTTGAAGTTGGTCTGCACAGTTTTAGTTACTTTTGTAGTGATTCTTGATCGAAAGTGTCATTGATCTTAATTTCTAGTCTACTTAGGGTTGGTGTTCACTGTTGACCATTCAAGTCATCTTGTTTTGCGGGGTTTCTTGATTACCTTCTTGACTTTTACTTCTTTACTTCTTCGTTTCCTTCTTCTTCGTAGCACTTATCTTACATTAACAAACTCAGCATTAAAGATGTCTCACAGAATCACTGCCTTGGGTGCTCAAATCAATTTAAAACGTTCAATCTCTACATCCACTTCAACTCTCAAAGGTTTCCGATCGGCCTTCAGCAAACCTCAAGTGAACAAGTTGGCTGTTTCTACAGATATCTTTAGACAACATGACCTTATGGTCAGGGCCTCTCAAACACCTGAGGGACAAGAGCTCGGTAAACGTTGGTTAGGAAGTTCAGCAGCTAGTCGGATCGATTCTGATCGTGTAGGTAGTCCTTCTCTTGCCACTATCAAAACATTCGCAAGCTTTATATCTGAAACTCCCCGAACTTCATCAAAATAGGAAACGATTGTTAGATTACTTTATTCGATTGCCTCTAAACATGAAGTGGAAAGATACCTTCGAATCTTCTCTACTGCTTCTACCTTTGCCGTCCTCAAAGTCGGTGGTGCGATCTTGTCGGATGATCTCGAATCTCTCTCTCTTAGTTTGAGTTTCCTCAACCGAGTTGGCTTGTACCCAGTCGTGTGTCATGGTATGGGTCCTCAGTTAAACAAAGTCAGTCTTTTATCTAATTTTTCATCAGCTATCGATAACTGACTTGACATCTTACATAGCTTTTGGAAGACGCTGGAGTAACTCCCGATTATATTGATGGAATTCGGATCACAGACGCCAAGACCCTCGAAATCGCTCGTCAAGTCTTTTTATCTGAGAACCTTAAACTTGTAGAGGCCTTAGAGAAGCTCGGTACTCGTGCTAGACCAATCACTAACGGAGTCTTCTTAGCAGATTATCTCGACCGGGAGAAGTATGGTTTTGTGGGTAAAATTACTAAAGTTAACAAAGAACCGATTGAAGCAAGTATTCGAGCTGGTGCTTTACCAATCCTGACAAGTTTGGCTGAAACTAAAGATGGTCAAATCTTGAATGTAAATGCCGATGTGGCAACTAGTGAACTTGCTAAAGTTCTTGAGCCATTAAAGGTCGTCTTCTTGAATGAAAAGGGTGGTCTATACCATGGTGTCACTCAGGAGAAGTTGGATGTGATCAATCTAGACGAGGTTAGTTTTTTTTTCTCCATATCATTCATAGTGTTGAGAATTGACATGATAACTGATGTACTGGCTTTTCGAATTGCTAGGAATATAATGATCTGATGAAACAAGAATGGGTCAAATATGGCACCAAACTGAAAATCCGAGAAATCAAAGAGCTTCTCGATCATCTCCCTCGCTCCACTTCTGTCGCCATCATCGCACCTGGGGATTTACAAAAAGAATTATTCACCGATTCCGGGGCTGGTACCCTCTTACGACGAGGCTACAAACTTTACAAGCACTCTGATATCAACTCGATTGGCAAAGACCGTCTGCGCAAGGTACTTCAGGAGCGAGACCCAGATGTTCAATCAGGCAAATTGAGTGTAGCAGAATTTTTCAGCGATTTGGCAAAACATCCTTACACTATCTACGGGGACGAGCCATTTGATGTAGTTGCGATCATCTCTCATCCTCCTGATAAGGTACCTGTCTTGACTAAGCTTTTGACCAATCGAAATGGAGTCTTGAATGCAGTTTTGGATAATGTTTGGGCTTCGATCCGAAAAGATTTCCGTAAATTGATCTGGACTACGAATGAAAGTGAAGATGAAAACAAAGGGTGGCATTTTGATAAGTCTGATGGTAGCTTTACTAGAGCTGGAAAAAGTTTACTTTACTACGGGATTCAAGATATCAATGAGATTGAGCAGGTGGTCAAGAGCTTGGTTGACGATGAACGTGTCCCACGGAATTATTTACCATTAACTCACATGAAACCCACTTCGACCCAGCATGCTAGTCCCAGTACCACCCGTCAATTCTCAACGATGGCGTACGGTCAGCGCCGAGGTTATGCGACTCAAGCTCAACGCAAAATTGGCTTGATCGGCGCCCGTGGTTACACAGGCTCTCAACTCGTATCGCTATTGGACTCGCATCCTAGTCTTTCACTCGCTCATGTCTCGTCGAGAGAATTGGCAGGCCAGAAGCTTGAAAACTACAACAAGTCAAACATCACATACGAGAACCTTAGTGCAAAAGACGTAGGAGAGATGGAGAAGCACGGCGAAGTGGATGCATGGATTATGGCGCTTCCCAATGGGATCTGCAAACCTTTTGTGGATGCGATTGATCAAGCTTCCCCAGAGAAGAAAAGTGTGGTAGTAGACTTAAGCGCCGATTATCGATTCGAGCAGGGCTGGACATATGGCTTACCGGGTGCGCCTTGAATCTAAATTTGTATTCGTCTATGTGCTGTGATCCCATCGTTTCATTCCCTGCTACCATTTCACTGCTCTTGATTTCAGAAATCGAATGTTTTCACTTCCTCACTCGTTCCGCACCTTGAATTTTCTTGAGTTTAGAGCTCTAATTCTACTGTCTCCTCCAAGTCAAATCCTTCCTTATACCTGCTATTGTACGAATCCATTCACAATCTTGCGTCGCTTGCTTTTTGTTTTTTGCCTGGTAGAATTGTACAATCGAGAAAAGATACAAGCGTCACGAAGGATTTCCAACCCAGGCTGTTATGCAACAAATGTTCAATTGCTCTTGGCACCTCTTCTGCCTTATATCTCGCATACCCCGACGGTATTTGGTGTCTCAGGTTATAGTGGTGCTGGAACCAAGAAAGGTAATGCGCCAAAGGTAACTCCTGAAGATCTTAAACATTGTGTCAAACCATACTCCCTCACCGGTCACATCCACGAACGAGAAGCAGGCTTTCAACTTAGTTCCTTAATGTCACCTGAATCCTTAGAAGTAGCATTTGTACCATCAGTGGCACCATGGTTCAGTGGTATCATTGCAACTGCATCAATCCCACTCAAGAAAACTATCACCTCTAATGAAGTTCATCAATTATTTGAAAAAAGATATTCAGGTGAGAAAATGTTAAAATGGAGAAGGAATGGGGTACCCGAAGTTTGGGAAATCGAAGGAAAACACGGTTGGATCGGAGGTGGAGTTCAAGTACATAGTTCTGGATCTCGTGTAGTAGTTGTGGGTGTTTTGGATAACTTATTGAAGGGAGCTGCAACTCAATGCTTACAGGTAAGCTTTCCTGGATTTCAAATCTGTTTCACTTATTTGGTTTTCTTTGTCTTAAGTTTATTGATTTGTTTTTTTACCTTTTATTAGAATCTTAATCTGGCCTTGGGTATTGATGAGTATGAAGGAATCCCATTAGATTTTTAAGTCTAGTTCAGAGTTTTAAACGTATTTCATTGATGAACAGCGGTGATTGCAGTAAGACTTTTCTTATATCGGGAGTCTACGGAATTCTGTATTGATATTATAGGGCAGAAACATGAAATTATTAGCCCAGAGCAGCTCTACAGAATCAAGATTAACTTGAGAGGCTGTTATTTGACCCAAGATTGTTTCTTGAAAACAATAGTATGTATTGAAGAGTTCTGGTTGGTTTCTTCTAACCTGCTTTTTGCGCCTTGCCATTTGATCTCTGCGTTTGAAGCTTTGAGATGCATGAGAATCTCTTGATAATATTCAACCCACTTTACACCTCACAAAAAGTTGTTGAAGCCTATTGACCAAATCATGTCTGTCATACCGCACCGTACCATATACCATATATACGATGATGATTTTCAAGCCTTCCTACTCTCAATGACATGAGTGGATGCTGGTTATGGAATAATACACTTTGTGGGGCACTAGTGGTGAAGCGTCACTGTGTGATCAATCCGTTCATCTCAGACAGCTAGTGTCTAGTGATCACATCAATTCCCCCCTATTTCGTGCTCTGCATATGTGGAGGTCACCGAAGCAATGCTATATCCTTGGAATCTGTTTCACGTTCGTCGCCGAGGTGAAAGAGGCGATGGTCTAGTCAACTGCTGTGTAAATGTGCGCAGAGAAGAAAATTCAAGGCTATTGATCATGTGTTCTATTGTTGGAGATGCGGAGAATTACAAGATCTTTGATGTGGGGCTTGCAAAGTGGACTGGTGAAAGGATGTAGCTCAGGTAGTTTCCAGTCTTAACATCACTTCAGAAACACACTGAAGCACTGGATTGTAGACTAAAATAGATGTGTATGACCGGTGACATCATTGGTCTATGACGACCGAAGAGGAATTGTTTCACAGAGAACGGATCAACTCTTCGATGAAGCAAGTTGGACTCAAGGTGCGCAGCTGATAAAAAGGTGTAACCACTTAAGATGGCCACCGTTGTCCCGTTCAACTAACTCCAAAATTGAATTCGCCAATGCCAACCTTCAAACATTTCATTTTAGCATTTGAGTCACCTCGCCTTTTGAGTTTCTAAAGAGAACCGCGTTTCTTCTTTTTCCCTTGCTGAAAAACTTATCAACAGCGCTCACGCTTTCTATAGTGGAAAGCTTCTACTCATTTCTTTACCTTTCAACACGTTGTGGCACTATTGACGACAAAATTAGTTTAGTGCAAAGTTTTTTTTTTGATTTCACAATTTCGTGGTCTTTGTACCTGCTGAAGTCGTCTACTTCAAGTTCAGAAAGAGCTGGCTCTCTACCCTGTTGATATATATAAACATTTACCATTTGCGAAAAACCCTTACATTTTCAAAGTCCAAGAATGCGGTATTCAAGTCGTGGATCACAATGTTGAGTTCCATACTTTAACTGAAGATTTTTCATCTCAAGCTAATCAAATCATCTCTCTTCTTTTCAGACGGCGGAAGCATTGCTTCAAGCTATGACTATCCCTGTAAGTATATTAGCTATTGTCTTTAACCTTCACGTGCAATCCTCTTTCATACTCAACGATGTCCATGAGATTTTAGATAGCGGAGGTGGTTATGACCTCGGTGGTGTTTGGCGCCCACACACTGGTCGAAGTGAAGTGGTGTTCAACAATTATCCCGACTACTATAGCGGTGCAGATATGGCATACTGTCAACCAGGATTCATGTCAGCTTATGACCCGATGTTGTTGGGCGATTATTATAATTGTCCAACTGACTATTATGGTGAGATTGTTTAACCTTTGTTCAATCAAGTATACCTTCAGAATCAAAAAAGTAGCTCATGGACGATGAAACGACTTGGTCTACGCAGGGTCGTATGAATCACTTGCCATGTATGAGGAACAATTACGCTTGATGAATATTAGTCAAGCGGAGCGCCTAGCTAGATGGAACAGCCGCCTTCAATTCGAAGAACTTTGTGAAGAGGTAAATCTATGTTTTTTCTAACCTCTAGGTGAAATCAAACTGACTGGGGAAACACATAATTTGTCTTCCCAGGAGCGCGCACTCCGTTATCAGATGATGGCGGAAGAAGAGCGCATCAGACTGGGTTTGATGGGCTCCTCTTACTGTACGTGATCATATCATTATGATGTTTTTCTCGAGCTAACATGTTCCTTCCTATAGGGGGGTCTCGCTATGGTGGATATGGCTATGGCGGTTTTCCCATATCAGGAACGATGTCATCTTGGGGCACCTCACGGCTACCTCTGAGCAGTGGCCTAGCGTCTCGCTATAGACCACGCTATGGCTCTGGGATGAGGGGTGTGGGTTACGGCTATGGAAGCGGAAGCCTTTGCGGAAGCACATATGGGCCTGCCTCAGGTGGGTATCCGCAAGATCGTCAGTACTTGGATGATATGTTGGCCTACTGAACCATCCCACTTTGCATCCACAGTCATTTCTGGTTACAGTGGCAGAGGTCGATTAGGACTCACCACAGGAAGCGTTGCCTCTAATATGTTCAATGCACAGATAGATGAGGCCAAGCGTCTAAGAAGACACGCACGCGAGTATGCGCGACAAACTCGGCGACAATTGGCATACTAGATCAATTCCACTTTGTGATGATGCCTGTCTCACCTATTGTACAGCCAACACCCAAATTGCACCGCAACATATTTCAGTTTCGGTGCGATTTCGGTGCGATTTAGATGTTTAAACGAAACGAAATGTGATTGCGGTCCTCCCGCACCGAAATAAGATGAGCAAAATCGTGATTTCGGTTCAACCGAACCGAAACCAGATTTGATGAACCGCAACTCGCAACGAACCGAAATATGCTGCGGTTGGTTGCGAGTTTGTTAAAGGTGAAGGCAAGGTGTTTCCCAGTCCACTACATGTGAAAAGAGAAGTGAGAGGAGGTTTTCACCTATCAGTAGTTCTCTTCCTTTTCGAACTGTTGTGCATTCTTTTCCTCATCTGAACTTTTTATTGACATCGTCCAAAAGTTGTTTCCTCACGTCCAGTTCCTTTTGTCCGTCTTGAACAGGTTCAAGTGTTCTCTTAAACCCACTCTCACAACTTTTCTTGAGCTTGCTCCAACTTTGAGCGTCTATAAAGTTTCACATTTCGCTGATGAGGTGTGTAATCAACATTTTTGGGTGACAGCATCATTTTTATAGCGTCATCATACCCTGTAAAGGGAAGAACGATCAGACAAGCTATCGTGCATGATCAGAAAAGCTATTGTTCGCTGCTGATAGTTATTGTCACGTCTCTTCCCTTACATTGTCCATCATTACCAGAAGATTACAGTCAAAGTGGCTCAAGAAGACTTGACTCTCACATGTTTTCTAGTTGTAGTTCTTTCAACAAATGTGATTTCTTCATTTTCTTTCTTCGTTCAGCTCAAAAAACTTGAATCACCTGATCTATTGAATATAGTATACTTCTTTGATTATCTCAAAGCTAAAACTTCAACTCCTAATATATGTGTCTCCTCCTCTCCAATCTTTGTATCCTATTTGTACCTGCAAAAACCGAAATAAATTGCGGTTTCGGTTCGATTTCGTTTCGAATTGCGGTTTATCTAACGCACCAAAACCCTTTGGGGACTTCAAGCGTTTCGGTTCAAACTGCGATTTCGCTTGATTGCGTTTCGGTACCTTCGCAACGAAATAAAATAACCCGATATTTCGGTGCGTTTCGTTTCGATTTGGGTGTTGGTACAGCTCTTCTTCCCTTGAGGTTGGAAATGGACTATCCTTTGTGTTTTGAATCTCATTGTATCTACCACATGTCTTTGAAATTATTTCATGATACTCCTCTAGTACTGCGGCACTAGTACTGATGGCACGGTGAATCACACTGGCTGTGTTTGACATGACATGTTGAGAAAGTTTATCAAGAGACACTTGAGCCGGGCTCAATACTTTTTGACTGAGTCGATCAGCGTCTGTGAGCCTGATTCTGAAAAGTCCGCTGTGCGAGGACCGATCAGCATATATCGGCATGAATGTGTCGAGATAATAGGATTGAAGCTGAACTTACCAAGTGCAAATTCAGCTATCAATCCCTGCAGCTCGATTTCAATTAAACAATGAACAAAGGGGGTCAGCGTTGGCCGAGTCAGTGTTCTTATAATATATATATATATAGCATGAAGGGCCTGGATAAAAGGTGTTCGTCAAATGACCTACTTCACTCCAACATATAACCCTTTTCTCCGGGGTTTCATCACGATCGAGCTTTTCCATGTCATCATCCGACTCATCGCCATCTTCAGCGGGTCTCGCTGGTAGTCGTTTGATTTCTTTTCCTCGACTAAAACGCAAAAGGACCCAGGGTGAAGGAGAGAGCTTTCGCGGGGAGACCAAACCCAGCTCGAGCTCATCGTCCAAAGTTTCTGATCCGTTCAAGTCCAAAATCACGAACTCGAGCCGCTCAGAAGAGTGACTAAACCGAGACCGATCAATCAGTAAGCGTAACGCAAAGCTTTGATGAGGGTGGTTATGCACCTCATCGAGACCTTGGCCATCAAAGCTTCCATATCCTTCCAGCCCGGCCCCCTCCTCGTCCGTTGATCCCATACAGGGAGCACAATCCAATGCTTTTCTTGATTGATCATTCGACTATAGCTAGCCTCGTTTGACTTCATCCGTTCCCGAAGCTTATTCTCATCCATTGCTAACATTTCACCGGGTGAAAGACCTTCTAGCGAATCTAAGGTTCGACCCATCACCTCCCGCGTAAATATCTGTTTCATCTCATGAGGTATCAGGTCAATGAATCTTCGGTAAGAATCTGCATTACGAAAATTAAGATAAAAGCGCGCGACTGACACTAGGCACCATTGTTCTAATCTTGGAACGCCCTCCATACTTTGGCTTCTCAATCAGCCTACGAAGCACTGCTCATATAACTCATGCAAACATCAGGATTTCTATATCTCTATGAAGCTCCAAAGGGAGAACGATCGCACAGATCCAAAAACCCAAGTAGATCACAAACCACCGCCAGCTTGCAACTCGGACGAGCTGAAAAGCAGACGAGAGCCAAAGGTGATCACACACCGTCTCACCTAGCGTTTCTATGAGCCAAATGAATCAAAGTCAACAGTTTTGAACACTCAGACTCGCGTAGACACACACGCACACATACCCTCACACACCTCATTCAGTTTCATACGTTGACGAATTACCCTCAGTCGGCCCATCACCATCAATGGCATCAGACTGAGTGGCACTGCTATTGCCAGTGCCTCGGTCCTTTCTACACGACACAAGAGAAAAATAGTGGGAGCTGTGCTTGCGATCGCATTGAGAACGTAGAAAGGCTGGAGCCATAGTCGTCTGAATTCATTGATACGTGCCATCTGACAAGGTGTTGTATTCTACTTTTTCATAAGGTCGATCTCAGTCCAGAAGCTGAAGACCCGACCAAATTGTCGCGTGTATAGCCCCGTAAGCCCCGTACGGGTCACCTACTCCAGCCCGCGGGGCACACCGTAAAGACTTGATTAAGCTTAGGGGCACGCAGTGTAGGGATATGTAGCTGACTTTCTTGACTCTTGATAGCGGAGGCCCGAAAGCCACCAATGGCACTTCAAGCAAGGAAACTTTTTGGAAGTTTGAGCCTCAATAAACTTTAATGTGATGTGAAGCAATCTATCAACTGCCGGTTCGCCTATTTGACCCTTTTTGCTTGCAGGCTGTGATCTTTATTGAATTTCGACGATTGCTAACATCCTATTTTCTCTACACCTACAGCCCTTTGCAGAATTGATGACTTTGGAAAAAAAGAAAACACTTGAGTTTTCAAAAAAAACCTGCAAGTTTTTTTCAAAAACTCATCGAGTTTTTCAAAAATTCATCGAGTTTTTCAAAAATTCATTGAGTTTTTCAAAAACTGAGCGAGCTCTTTCTCTTTTGGAATTACTGAGCCAGGTTTCCAAAAAAGACTCACTGACTTTTTGAAAAACTCAGCAGCTTTTTCACAAAACTTGGTTACTTTTCGAAAAAACTCGAGGTTTTTTATTTGAAAACTCGAGGTTTTTTTTTCTTCAAAGTCATCAATTATGCAAAGGGCTGTATCATGAGTTATTCTTTGTTTTGATACACCCAATCTGGTGCATGATAGTCACAACCTGTGTAGAAGTCGTTAACCTATGTCTAAGAACAATATACTATATAAAGAGCCTTTGTTTGCGTACTCACTGTTTTCTTTAGTCAAACATTATGTCTCTTTACCTTGACACCTTCCAACAGGTGATTGTTCTTTCATCACTCTTACGTGATCCATAGCCATCAGCGCTCTTCTATATCCCTAACATTGTGATTCCTACCAGGTGATTGTTCTTTCATCACTCTTACGTGATCCATAGCAATCAGTGCTCTTCTATATCACTAACATTGTGATTCCTACCAGTCACCCTTTCATTCCTATCTCTTTAGGTTATGAGCCCAGCCCATTCATCTTAACCAGATTCAGCGCTATTATTCTTCTATGAACGACAAAGTATCATCTACTTTGTCAACACCTGCAACACCCACCAATACAATCACCAACAAAAATCCCTCCCAAATTACCCAAGTAATGTCGAATCACAATTCCACCTCTGAAGCTTCACACATTGCTCCTCTTGAACATGATTGGCAATGATGGTCGCCTCTCATGCTTGCTCACTTCATGGAGGGCGACTTAGATGTGATTGTTGATGGCTCTGAAGCTGAACCAGCGGAAGATGCCTCAGCAGCAGTCAAGCTTGACTATCAGTGTTGTTGCAAGAAAGCTGCAGGGTTCATATACCGGAAGCTAAGTCCCGAGAACAGAGCTCTGGTCATTAACTCATCCAATATCAAAGATCCAAAAGCAATCTGGGACGCCCTTGTTAAACTTTACGCTTCTACTAAAGCACGTAACCGTGCTTGTATTCTCAGAAAATTTCTTAATCTTATATGTTCCAACAATTCTCTCTCTACTTTTCTTACTGAGTATCAAAAAATCACACACAAGATGACTGATGTTTCCTTCAAAATAGATGATGATATATTAGCCCATATGTTACTCTATAAACTTTCTCCTTGTTATCACTCCACTCGCGACTTACTCGCTCATACAGCCAAAACAGCCAATACTCTTCTTACTCTTAGTCAAGTCTTTGAACATCTTCAGCAGATATAGTCAAACCTCTGAAATCCGGTGGGCTTGGTGGATGCCTTTTGGACCGGATAGCAGAGGTTATCAGATTTTAGAGTCAAACTCCCTGCTAAAAACCAAGCTTGGTGGACCAAAATTTGACCGCATATCAGAGGTTATCAGATTTTCAAGGACCAGATTGCAGAGGTTTGACTGTAGTATTAGATTATCAACCCAGTTCTACATCACCTCCTGCTGCTCTAGGTGTGGAACGACGTGCTATCACCTATGAGTGTTGTTTAAATGGTTCTCATAATCCACTCACTCCTCACACTGCTGATGAATGTTATCAACTGCATCCTGAACTCAAGCCTGTTTGTAAGAATCAATGTACGTCTAATTGAGGAACAGCAAACAACACCATCAGTGGTACGGTTCTTGCTACCTACGTATTCAATGCCACACTCACTGGTAAACCTGTTCTTGATTCTGGTGCATTGCAATTGATGTTTAGCTCTCAATCTTGCTTTACTAGTTATTGACCTTGCAACACCATCATTCATGTTGCCAACGGAGAACAAATCCAAGCCATTGGAACCGGAACTGTGTCCGGAACTCATGATTGAAAATCAATTTCTTTCACGGACTGTCTCCATGTGCCTCAGCTTGCAACAAACCTGGTCAGCATGGTCGCCTTGGTTCAAAAGGGCTGCTCATTCAACTTTACTCCGGATTCTAGCTTCAGTGTGGTTGTTGATTCTGATGTGGTACTCACTGGGGACACCAAGAGTGGAGTTATGGAAGTCAACTTTGATTTGGGCAAGTCTCCTCAACTCTCACTCTCTGCATCCACTCAAATTTACCCAGCTACTCTTCACAGGCGCCTAGGCCATCCTGGACAAGTCCCCTTGGAGAAAGCTTGTCCTGGAGTTATCTTTCCTGACTCTTGTGAACCGTGTATTCTCTCTAAACAACACCACCTGCCCTTTAAAAGTCATCTTCCCAACACCTGTGATCGCTTATCTGTGTTACATAGTGATTTGAGTGGTGTAATTTCTCCTCCTTCTCTCGGCGGCGGTAGATACTATTTTAAATTCACAGATCAAAAATCCAATTATAAATTTGTTTACATTTTAAAATCCAAATGTCAGACTTTCTCTTATTCTGTTCAACCAAAGCACTCGTTGAAAATCAAACAAATCTTAAAATCAAAACTCTTGTCAACAAAAACAGAGGAGAGTATACATCCAAGCAATTCACTGAGTTTATCAATCATGAAGGCATCAAAATGGATTTCACTGCGCCCTACACACCTCAACAAAATCCTATCTCTGAGAGAGGTAATAATACTACCACGGAGAAAGCCAGAGCGTTGCTTAAACAAGCAAATCTGCCTCTGGTTTTTTGGGCTGAAGCTGTTGCTACCCCCGTCTATCTTGCAAACATCACCCCATTTGCTCGTGATAACTTCATCACTGCTCATGAAAACTGGTTTGGTAAACCACCTTCCTATTTTCATCTGCGCGTTTTTGGGTGTCTAGCTTATGTACACGTTGGTAAGGAACGTTGTACTAGCAAGTTCTCTGATGTGGCAAAGAAGGGAGTCCTTCTAGGTTATCAAGGCACCATGCATAACTATAGAATTTACCTGCTGGATGATCATCGAGTCATCTATAATCATGATGTTATCTTTAACAAAGAAATCTTTCCCTTCTCTGATCCTCTTGTTCTGAACGCTTCCAAATCCAAGTTCGGCAACAGCGATGATCACTTTCTAGAAGACATTCATCTTGATCAACCTACTGAAGAACTCACTTCACCTGAACCCTATCATCCTCTAACTGAAGATGAGGGCATGTCCATTCCCAAGTCTATCTCTTTTTCTGATCCCATCTCATCGCCTTCAGAACCGATTAACCCTGAAGAATCTCGGAATGATCAGCAAGTAGAAGAACCTCAGAATGATGATGTGCCTCCTGAAAGAGAACCACAGGTGGAAGAGCCAAGGATTGAAGAAACACCACAGATCGAACCTGAATCCAATGGTTGTCCCACCTACTCTTATGTTCCAGCGACTGCGACTGCTCCAAAAGCTATCTCCAGTTCCATTGATCTGTCCAATATCATCACTACTCGATGTTGACGTGCGAACCTAGCCAGTCTTCAATCTCTTGAGCCGCACACTTATTGTGAAGCCATGTCTAGACCTGATTCCAGCAAATGGCAAACTGCAATTCAGAAGGAACTTAATGCCTTGATTGACATGGGTGTGTTCACGGAAATGGAACTACCTGCCGGTGCTCATGCGCTGGGTACCATGTGGGCATTCTGACTGAATACGGATCAGGACAATGTCATCATCAAACATAAAGCTAGACTTTGTGCACAAGGCTTCTCCCAAATACCCGGCTTAGAATACAATGAAACATATGCCCCTACAGGCAGAGCTGCAAGTATGAGGTTGGTGCTAAGTGTGTGTGGCATCGAGGACATGGAGGTAAGACTTATGGATGCAGTGGGAGCGTTTCTCAATGGAATTCCGGAAGAATTCCTCTACATCAAGATCCCGCAAGGTTACACTCCTAAGCTCACCGGCAAGAATATCGTTTTACTACTCAACAGATCTCTGTACGGCCTTAAACAATCTCCACAATGTTGGTACATCATGGTTAAAACATTCTTTCAATCTATCAATTTCTCTCCATCCAAGTCCGATCCCTGTCTCTTTATCTCTAATGATCCCACTTGGCGCTGTTTTGTTCATGTCCACGTTGATGACATGCTCGTCATGGGTAAGAACACTGAACATTTCTTGAAATTAATTCAATCTTGTTTCAAAATGGAAGATATGGGAGACTGAACATTTCTTGAAATTAATTCAATCTTGTTTCAAAATGGAAGATATGGGAGACTGCACATTCTACTTGGGCATGCAACTCAAACGTGATCAACAAGCCCAAACCATCACTCTCACTCAGGACAAATATATCCTTAGCATGTTGGAGGAGTATGGTATGCAAGATTGCCATCCAGTAACTACTCCAATGATTCCCGGAACTTACACTACGCCAAATTGCAAATTTACTGTGGAGTTTAGAAAATTGAGTAGACATAGAAAATTATAGAGAAGCTGGCAAGGGTCAGAAAAATATGAAAAAATAATGGGAGGGCCCTTTGATGCATTCCGATTGTCTGGCATATTTTTTCATATTTTTAAAACCACAATGCATATAATACTACACAAAATATAATATCTTCTGGGCAGAAAATATAAAAACCAACGAACAGTGATATTGAGCAGTCTTGGAGAGAGAAAAAAATACACAAAAATATGTATATTGTTCCTATGGCTGAGACCTTGGATTTGAGTATTTTTTTGTATTTTTAGTGTGAGAATTGTTGATTGTACTAACAAAAAACCTCCAGGATTGTTAGATTGCAACCTGTAACAGACATTGGAGGGCATAATTTGAATTCAACAATCCCTTATATCTTTGTCAATTCTTGGTCAAACCACTTGATTTTTTGTTCATTGGAAAGCCAAACTCTGTGACTATATCTGTCATTGAGACAAAAAACCTGCATCTAATCCCAAAGAATATCTATGTGGCTATATAGGAAATTGTTTTGAAGACAAATAGGTTTTTTTGTAGCGGAGCTACAGATTTGACGCATTGGCATAACATTCAAATGCACTTAATGGCTTCCTAATCAGCTAACTACCAAGTGTTTTGACCCAGAATTGCAAAAGATATGAGGGATATAGAATTCCAGTGGCCAAATTCCAATCCGTGTTACAGGTTGTAATCTGAGAAACTTGGAGGTTTTTTGTTAGTACAATCAACAATCTGCACACTAAAAATACAAAAAATACTCAAATCCAAGGTCTCAGCCATAGGAACAATATGCATATTTTTGTGTATTTTTGTCTCTCTCCAAGACTACTCAATATCACTGTTTGTTGGTTTTTATATTTTCTGCCCAGAAGATATTATATTTTGTGTAGTATTATATGCATTGTGGTTTTAAAAATATGAAAAAATATGCCAGACAATCGGAATGCATCAAAGGGCCCTCCCAAGATTTTTTCATATTTTTCTGACCCTTGCCAGCTTCTCTATAATTTTCTATGTCTGCTCAATTTTCTAAACTCCACGGTAAATTTTCAATTTGGTGCAGTGTTATCTGTCTTCAGCTTCGGACAAAGATCATCAGCAATTCCTGGCAACTGGCATGAACTACAACAGAGCAGTGGGTTCGCTCAATTATCTCGTCATGTGCACTCGTCTGGATTTAGCCTTCACTGCAAGTCAACTAGCTCAACACTTAAAGAAACCGGGACTTGAACACTGGGCGGCTTTTAAAAGAACATTACGTTATCTTCAAGGTACATATCAGGATGGATTGGTATTGGGAGGGGGATCAAGTGTGTTACAAGTCTATGCCAACTCAGATTATGTGGGATGTCCAACAACTAGAAGCTCCACTTCAGGTTATATTTCAAAATTAGGTAATGGTTGTGTTAGTTGGCGGTCTTGAAAGCAACCATCAGTGTCAACTTCTTCAACTGAGGCCGAGTATCGGGCCGCGTATGAGGCTGCTCAAGAAACGGTCTTCTTACAACAAATCTTGGATGATCTTGGCTGTCCTCAAATTGGAGGAACAAAGTTTTTATGCGATAATCAAAGCTCACTTGCACTTCAAAAGAATCCGCTCTTCAAACACAGATCAAAACACTTTCAAGTACATCTTCACGGGATCAGGGAACAAGTAGAAGCAAGCATCATTATTCTGACTTACATTCACACAAAAGAAATGCTTGCTGACATATGCACCAAAGCATTACCTCGACCACAACATTAATACCTTACAAAAACAATCCGATCATAGGATGTTCACATTGAGGGGGGGTATTGAATTTCAACCATTGCTAACATCCTATTTTCTCTACTTAACAACCATGTCCGCATTTGTCCTAGCTTTCAACTCATCTCTCTCTTCTCCTATCATGAGTTATTCTTTGTTTCAATACGCCCAATGTGGTGCATGATAGTCCCAACCTGTGTAGAAGTTGTTAACCTATGTCTAAGAACAATATACTATATAAAGAGCCTTTGTTTGCGTACTCACTGTTTTCTTTACTCAAACATTACGTCTCTTTACCTTCACACCTTCCAACAGGTGATTGTTCTTTCATCACTCTTACGTGATCCATAGCCATCAGCGCTCTTCTATATCACTAACATCGTGATTCCTACCAGTAACTCTTTCATTCTTATCTCTTTAATCTTGAATCAATTAGGGGATACAAAGTAGAATCCGGGCACGTGCCCGGCTTGGTGCCCAGATTTTTTTTGGCAGT